TTGATTTTGATAATCCGGATAATCTACTTGAAGATGATTTTATTCTTCGGGCCAATAAGCCAACAGAAGAGGAAGAGGGAATGGAGATACAGTATGTGTGGTTTGTTTTGAAGCAGGAATGACCTGACTGTTGCTTCTTCTGTAGGATAGTAACCATTAGATGTTATAGCTGGAAGAGGCCTTCGAGGGCATTTAATCTGAGACTTCTGATTTTAGAGCAGAAAATGTGAGACTTGAGGTCTTTACAAACCATCGACAGATGGGGCTAAAGTCCAGGTTGCTTGATTGCTAGTTCATTACTTTTCCAGCCAAACCAGACGGGTCAAGCAGCACAGCTGTTCCTGCCTAAACAAGAATCCTGCCTCTGAAATACCCTCAAATTTTACTTGTGCAAAGTCATTTGGTTCTGTTGTTTTTCAAGTTGTTTTGACATTTAATTTATGGCTCTGCCTTTAGGAAATCTGAGGCTGAAGATGACAGTGAGTGGGAAGATGTGGATGATGAGAAGGAAAGAGGTAGTGATGATGATAAATATGACCCTGCAGGCTCATCAGATGAGGATATGTCTTACCCTGGAAAACCTCTTGGGGCTGTAGAAAATCACTTGTTCTGGGAAGAAGAAACAAAAAGTCGCTTTACTGAGTATTCTTTGACGTCTTTGGTCATGAGGAGAAATGAACAGCTGACCCTACATGATGAGAGATTTGAGAAGGTAAACTCTCCAAATAAGGGGCCTTTTAATACTAGTTCCTAGTACAGTTTATGACATTGGAACCCAAAGCTAGAACTTTCAGCGTTAGAAACAGACTATGTCTTTTATTAAAAGAGTGCATAAAACCACCCCAGTTTTAATTCTGGAAAGAATGTGTATAAGTCAAAAGGTGACTGGTCAAACCTCCTGACTTCCTCTTAGAATCTGATACTTCAATTCTGAACCTCTATGATCCCAATCCCTAAGATTATGCTGTCTTCCTCAAGCATTGGCCTGAGCATAAACAAAATTCCATTGCTTTCCCTTTTTTTGAGTGATTTTCATACTGTTAATATCTCAGGGCCTAAAGTGGTATTTGGCATATGGCAGGGATTCAGACTGTTGAGTAAATTCCTTCAAGGTGAATCTAAGGTAAAGGCTCTGACTTTGCTGCCTTTTCACTAAGTACTCATTTCCCTCTTCTCTCCAAGCAGTAGGCAAACTATTAGTAATAACCTCACTCTTCAGGAGTTGTATCACCCCCTGCTTATTCTTTTACAAAGCCCAGCGGAGTTAACAGCATTGGAATAATACAGTAAGCATCATCTAAACCAGAATGAGATTTGTACATAAACAGGAGGCTCTTTAGTTACATGGTCTTTTAGCTTGCATAATCAATGAATTTGAAAATATCTGTGAAATATTATGAGGTAAAGATTTCTGCCTAGCATTTTGTTCACCAAGCTGAACAGAATAACTGCTTTTCATTTTCATTTTTAAAATTGAAGTATAGTTGATGTACAATATTATGTAAGTCAGAGGTGTACAATATAGTGATTCACAATTTTTGAAGGTTATATTCCATTTATAGTTATTATAAACTATTGGCTATATTCCCTGTGCTTGCACAATATATCCTTATTTTATACCTAATAGTTTGTACCTCTTAATCCCCTGCCCCTATATTGCCCCTCCTCCCTTCCCTCTCCGCTGGTAACCACTAGTTCGTTCTCTATATCTTTGAGTCTGTTTCTCTTTATTTATGTTCACTAGTTGGTTATATTTTTTAGATTCCACCTGTAAGTGATATCATACTGTATGTCTTTCCCTGTCTAACTTATTTCACTTAGTATAATACCCTTCCAAGTCCATCCATGTTTTTGCAAATGGCAAAATTCCATTCTTTTTTATGGCTGAGTAGTATTCCATTGTGTGTGTGTGTGTGTGTGTGTGTGTGTGTGTGTGTGTACACACACACACACCCCCCACATCTTTATCCATTCATCTGTTGATGGATACTTCATATCTTGGCAATCATAAATAATGCTTCTATGAACACTGGGGTGCACATATCTTTTCAAGTTAGTGTTTTTGTTTCAGATATATACTCTGGTGTGGAATTGCTGGGTCATATGGTAGTTCTATTTTTAGTTTTTTGAGGAGCTTCCATACTGTTTTCCACAGTGGCTGCACCAATTTACATTCCTACCAACAATGTACAAGGTTCCCTTTTCTCCACATCCTCACCAACATTTGTTATTTGAATTCTTTTTGGTGATAGCCATTCTGTCAGGTGTGAGGTGATATCTCATTGTTTTGGTTTGGGTTACCCTGATGATTAGCGATGTTGAACACCTTCTTATGCGCCTGTTGGCCATTTGCTTTTCCGCTTTGGAAAAATGTCTCTTCAGGTTTTCTACCCATTTTTTAATTAGGTTGCTTGGTTTTTGTGTTTCTGATGTTGAGTTACATGAGCTGTTTATATATGTTGGATATTAATCCCTTACTGGTCACATCATTTGCGCAAGTTTTCTCGCATTCTGTAGGTTGTCTTTTTGATTTGTCAGTGGTCATTTTCATATTAAATGGCAGCCTGTATTCAGACCAGGTGTCAGTCTGAGAGTGCTGAGTAGAATGTCTTCCACGCCGTCCTGTTATGGTGCTAAATCCCTGCTAACACTTAAATGGTAGTTGTGATCCTCCTAGGGCTTGAATATTGTACGGGAGTAAAAGTAATGTAAAAATACCATTTAAATGCTATAGTCTTAAAGAATACATTCATTTTTCATCTTATCTTTTTCCTTTTTATCCAAGTTTTATGAGCAGTATGATGATGATGAAATTGGAGCTCTGGATAATGCTGAATTGGAAGGTTCCATTCAGGTAGACAGCAATCGCTTAGAGGACGTTTTGAATGACTACTATAAAGAGAAGGCGGTGAAGTACGGTGACTTTTCCTTGATTACTTCCTTTTTTTCGTTTCAAATAAAGTCTGTAATCGCACAGCTGAATCTAGAAAATACCCAGTCAAGATCCATGTTTAGAAAATGTATGTTTTCCTTAACCTTTGGCTCCCATTTTGCTATTAAGAGTTCTGAAGCTGAATATAACAGTGGGTGGAAACATACTGAGAACCACTTTCTCTATAGCTTTGACCTGAGAGTCATGATGGAATAGCTGAGGGTTAGAGTACAAGGTCATGTTCCACCTGGAGAAGGAGATGGTGCTTCTAGCCTCTTTGGCTGAAGAATTATTCTGACTTCTAAGTATATACACTCTTCATCTTCCTGAAAAAGGTGTTCTGAGAAGTACATCAGTTTGTCTCTGCAGCCTGATTAGCATAACTTTCTATCCAAATATTTGGTAAATCATCATCCACATCAAGGTGATTTCTCTGAGAGAAACTAATGAAGTGTTTACATCTGCTAGAAAGGTCTGATGTTCCCTGATCACTATCATATGTAGATCCCAGAGCAGGACAAGGGCTATATTCTTCGAGTGAGTTATTTGAATACTTTGAAGAGGCAGATGGGCTGATGCTTTTCAAGGCTTTAAAAAAGATCATGTTATATAGGAAAGATGCCATCTTGTTTAATGTGTTAAAACCTTGCAAAGACACAGAATTTTCCTTCCTGTCAGCAGAATGTATATCCAAAACCTGCTGTAGAGGAGAGGCAAGCCCGAGGAGAGCTGATTTTGACAGGAAGTGACAGATGGGGCAAATGAGTTTGTGGATTTTAAAAAATGTTGTAGTTCCCTAAGCTCTTTAAGTGCAGTTTCAGTAACGTAACAGTGTAATAATGGGTGGTATTTTTTTCCCCTCCTCTATCTTCATTTTTAAAACTCAACCAAAAGTTGTGTAAAACTGAATACTCTTGAACCCTTCGAGGATCAGGACCTGCCAGTGAATGAGCTCAGTGGGTCTGAGGAGGAAGAGATTGTTACTGTAGTTCTTGAAGAAACCAAAGAGAAGTGGGATTGTGAATCTATTTGTAGTAAGTACCTTAGTGTCCATTTTACTGCTAAAAGTGTGATAGTAATTTTAAAGTATTGGGTACATCAACTTCTTTGGAAAAGTACATATTTGTGAAAATGATTTTGAAAAATAATATTTCAGTAATTGAGTTGTAATTGAAACATTTAAAAACATAAGAGAGACTCCATTGTTATTTTGAACTATGAAAACACTAAAATCAGGAATATAGGAGGAACTCAGTAATCTTTGGCTGAACTGAAAGTATACTTATTGATACATGATTTTTGTGTGTGTGTCTGTTTTTTTAAGGTACATACTCAAATTTATATAACCATCCACAACTTATCAAGTATCAACCAAAGGTAAGTAAGTCCTAGTGTCCCGAGCTATTCGAAATATGCAGTGCAGGAAATGGAGTGTAGAAATTATTTTCTCACAGTAGCCCCTTTGTGGCTTGCAACACCATTATAAAAAATGGTACAACAAAAATGTGCCATTAGTGAGCTGTTTTTTAATAAGAGTGGAAAAAGCCACAATGCCATTTGATCTTTCTTTCAGCCCAAGCAAATCCGACTCTCTTGTAAAACAGGAATACCTCTCAGTGTCTTACCTAAGAAAGGGCCCACAGCAAAGCACGGTGAACAAATGCAGATGGTTAGTGACAGGGATCTGCCTAAGGCGCCAACCCAGCCACGTTCTAAAAGTGAAAGCAAAGAAGACAAAAGAGCAAGGAAGCAAGCTATAAAAGAAGAGCGCAAGGTAAAGTATTTTTTCAGATGTGAGATTTAGAAAGAGCTGGGGTGGGGGTGGTCACGGGAATTTTCTTCTGTAAAGTCAGTCTGCATCAGTGTGAAGATCTGAATAACAGCATATTCTTGCACAGGAACGGAGAGTGGAGAAGAAAGCTAACAAATTAGCCTTCAAACTGGAGAAAAGAAGGCAGGAAAGAGAGCTGCTGAACTTGAAGAAGAATGTTGAAGGTCTAAAACTATGACAGTGGAACATTTCAGATAAGGTGCATTCCCCATTACGGGCTCTTTGTTATGTACAATAATGAACGAGGATCGTCAAAGAGATAAAACTGTTCGCTCTGCAATTTTTACTGGCAGGTATTCAAAAGAAAACAGAACAGTATTTGTGTTTATACCAGTAAGTTTTCTCTGCCAGCTGTCTTGTAAATATTGTAATATTTTTAAATTTAATATTATAGGCTTAAATTTGCTTAAATAAATGACTTCATGAACATGAAATGTTTGGATAAATTAAAGGAAAATGTCTTCATAACTTAAATGGAATTGATTTGTTCTTCATTTACTTGTGTGGTTGTTCCAGTTGCCTTTTGCAGATGTTCTCAAATATTTCTTTGAAATCTCTCCACTCCTTTTCAGTACTTAAGTGGTTTGATTTCCTGTATGTAGAAAAGTAACCTAGTTAAGAACTCATTTGAAATAGAGTGGCAAGAAGAGCTTCCCTGAGAAGGTTCCACTGGTAGGAATCTAAGTTTCCCCTTGCTGTATGCAAAGGGTTATTTCAAAAGGATGGTAAAACAATATTGAGGTTATTGGGACTCAGTTACTGGCTGACTTGTTTTTGGAATTTAGGAAGAGTGAAGACAGGAAACAGAATAGAAGAAACAATCAAGAAAACTTCCTTGGCTTCAGTGAGTACCTGGCTCAACATCAGAAATATTGACTTCAGTTTAAACTAGAAAGCTTGTCTTTTCAACATTATTTAATGCTTGGAACCATTCATACTTGATTAAAATACATAGTTGAAAACTTTCCCTGTTTTTTGATGAGATTTTTTAACTTCTCAACTTTTTCAAGGTTCAAGCAATGACACATCACAATTGTTAATTATTTGGTAAACTGTGACTTTCTTGGAACAGACAAGTTGTTAGTGACCCATGTTCATGTGTCCATGGCTAATATGTTGTTATCTGGACTGTTCTGAAAAAAAAGAAATCTGTGGACACTGTTGGTCTGAGTTGGGTACAGAATGGCTGAGGCAGAACCATTCTTAGCAGGTGAGCTGCATTTGATATCTAAGTTATTAGAAAGTGTCTTCATCTATAATTTGATTATGGCTTTTCCTCAGCTGGGAGGTGTTACCTTGTTCTATACGTTATCGGTTCTAAATCTAATCATTGTAGAATTTTTAAAAGAGTTGTGAAAAACGATAGCATTAGGTACTCTACCAACACTGATAGAAAAAACTTGGCTGAAGAGCTTGTCATTACAGAAGTAGAATACTGGAGAGCGTGTATTTAAATGCCAACCTGCAGAAGCAAAGGGCCAGTTGATGGTTTATGTTAGTATCAGGAATGTACTAAATCCTAAAGAGATTGACCATTTATTTTGGTAGCCATCTCATTTGAAGGTTCTTAAAACTAGCAAGAATCTAGAATGTTACTTTGACTTGGTGCTCTTCAGATTCCATCTTCGGAGCTTTTAATTTCACCACACCTGACCCAAATGGTTTAAATTAACACATTGTATGTTTTGCAGTTAAGAGAATGTGCCTATAAGCCACTAGTCTTGGTGAAGCATATGGTGATTTAGACTGATTATCTTCCAAATTTAAGGATCTTGATTTTATTCTGGAAAAAAGTTCTTACATGATATTTTGTATTATTTCATAACATTTTGGAATATTTACGATGTCAGTCATATAAACAGTGGTTGGGAACTTAACATAAGCTCCATGTTAAATGTTAGGTGACCAAAGCAATAAGGGGGTTTTGCCTTAAAGGACTGCATTGTCTGAGGAGGCAGGGTGTGTGCAGCAAAATATAACTAATGCCAAGTCACTGTGATAAGTACCACTTGAAATGAGGATCTTGGTACTTGCTGTTCCCCCTGAAGTGCTCTGGCTGTAAATAAATCATCCTTAAGGATGGTGCTCAATTGTCACCTCCCCTATAAACTTTTCCCTGACCGTGTATTTAAAAATAGCACAAACATTCCTCCTCTGCATTCCTTATGCTCCTTGCCTGCTTTATATTCTCCTTAACATCTACTGGCATCTGATTTTATCTTCTTTTTCAGTCTCATCTCACTAGAACAAACTGAGGGCAGGGTATTTTTGTTTACTACTTTATCCCCAGGGTCTAGAACAGAGCCTGGCATTTGGTAAATGGTCACTGAGAAATATAAAAATGAATGGATAGTTGGGACAGACAATTCAGAAAAGAATTGCTTAAGCTAGAGGAGAAAAGAATTGCTTAAACTTGGAACAAAAAGACGTAGCCTCAGTGTTAGCCAGAAAGAAGACCTCAGGCATCCCAGACAGTTGGCAAAATCGTGAAGAATTTGCCTGCTGTATCTTAAGGACCTATTTTGTTTAAGCACTGTCTATGATTGGTATAAAGTCACTTTTTCAGATACTTTAGAACTTATTTTACAAGTCAAACTAAGTATCAAAAGTTCTTACTATTTGTGATTATTACCAGTGATGTATCCACATCTCCGTTGTGATGTCATCAAATCACCTCAGGTGAAGGACAGAACTTTAGCTATCTTGTAACTTTACTGTTAGATTATCAATACTTTTATGTTGCTTCTTGTGTGCTGACATTAGTATGTTTTATCCAGCTTGTTTGTTCCAGTTAAAGGTCAGAAGAAGGTAAAACTTCTAATGGCCTTATGGAGAATGTATAATAAAACAAACATACCCGCTATTCAAGTTAAGAAGTAGAACAAGTTATTCAAGTTAAGAAATAGAACACAGAAGCCACCTATAGGTGGCTTGAATAAATCCTCAATTTATTCAGTTTTTTCTTTCCTTGGGTAACTTTTATGAATTATCTGGACTTTTATATTAATCATCACCTGCATGGCATCCCTATAAACACAGTATCTTGTTTTGAGCAACTGAGAAGCACAAATCTAGCTCAATGAGGGAAGTAATTGCTACTGTTTGATCAAGGCATCCTTGAGAAGATGAGCTGAATAGTTTCTGAGTCTGACTTCAGCTCTTAGAGTTTACAAGAGCCCCATGTGTGGTGATGTCAGTGAGCCAGGTGATGAGTGAGTCCTGGGAACACAAGTGACCATAGTTGAAGCATCCTGAATCTCCTACCAAACTAGGCTTAACAATTGTATGCTCATTTTATGTTTTATGCTTCTATACTTATGATCTGTCTCTGAAGAGATGAGTGCAGAACTTTCCTGTGGAGTGAAATGAGTATCCTCAGCTTATCTAGACATGTGAGTATGAAGGGTGAGAAGGCACTTCGCTGGGATTTCGTCAAGCAAGCCAAGTATAGAACAGAATGAGAGCCAGATATATATAGGACATGCTATCCTCAGATTACAAAGGCAGTGAATATCTAGGTTATGACAGCCTTCAGCATGTCTGTGTCTTTAGTCCCACTCCTCCAATCTGAACTGGTTGCTTCTCTAGTTCCGGTGCCCAGCTGTTATCCTGGGAATCCCCTTCTCTACTGAATGGCTATTTGCTGTATCTTTTACTCACCTTGTTGTAGAGTATATCCTCCAGTAATTCTTGAGACAGAGTACATGGGATGTAAACTTTTTGAAAGCTTGCACGTCTGGAAATGTGTTCTACCCCCATATTTGATTGATAGCTTGGCTGGGTATAAAACTGTGGGTTGTAAATAATTTTCCCTCAGAAGTTTAGAGAATTTTTCCCCATTTATTTCCATTTTTACTATTTGTAAATCTGAAGCCATTCTGACTCCTTATACTTTGTATGTTACTTTTTTTTCCTCTAAGTAGGATCTCTGTCTTCAGTGTTCTGAAATTTTACAATGATATTTATTGTTCTAGACATATTTTCATTTGTGTGGGTGTCCTCTCAAACAGGAGGCTCATGTCCTTTCACTTCTGGAAATAGTTTAAAATTATTTCTGTTTTCTTCCTTGCATTTTCTCCTTTTGTCTTCTGAACTCCTATTATTTGGAGTAGGACCTCCTGGACAAGTACTCTAATTTGCTTATGTTTCTCTCCATTTCTATGCCATTTCACTCTACTTTCTGGGAGAGTTCCCTAATTCTATCTGCCAACCTACTGTTGAGTTTTTAATTTCTAAGAGCTTTAATTTTCCTTTAAATTTCTCTTTTGTTTACTTTGGGCTTACATGCTAGAGATTTTCCTCAGATCTCTGGAAATTCCTGTCTGTTTGTTCATGATTAAGATTGGAGGACGAGAACACTAGGAACTCTGGATGGGTAACATTGGTTGATTTTGAGCTTTTTTTTTGTAGGGTGGTCTGGGTGAGCTGTTTGGGAATCTTCCCAATGTCAGTATCTTTAGCTCTTTCTCCATGGAATGATTATATTCCCAGGGAAGCTTCCATTCTGCCTTGAGAGTAAGGGTCTGGCAGGCAGAATTCTGTGACCCAAGTAGAGGAAGGTGGGTGTGGGATATTCTCTGCTTCCAGCATCACTGCTCATGAGATTAATCACTAGATTATATACATACACACACACTTTTGTGTGTGTGTATGTATATATGTGTATATATATACAGTTAATCCTCATTAATCATGGAATCCCTATTTGCAAATTCACCTCCTCACTAAAATTTGTAACCCTAAATCAATATTCATGGTGCTTTCATGGCCATTCACAGATATGACACATACCAGTTAAAAAGTTGAGTCAACCAACACACATGTTCCCAGCTAAGGTAGAGCAAGGGGATGCTCTGCCTTCTTGTTTCAGCTGTCCTACTATAAACAAGTGTCCTTTTTATGGTCTACTTCGTGCCATGCTTTTCATAATTTTGCACTTTTTCTTGGTGATTTCACTGTTTAAAAGGCTCCCAAGCATAGCGTTGAAGGGCTGTCTAATGCTTCTAAGTGCAGGAAGGCTGTGATATGCCTTATGGAGAAATTATGTCTATTAGATAATCTTCATGCAAGCATGCATTATAGTGTGGTTGGCCGTGAATTCAATATTACTGAATCAACAATATATATATTTAAATAAGGTATCTTGAAACAAATTCATAAAACAAGGTTGTGTGTTGATATACAAATCCATTTGTATAGTGCATTATTTGAGAGTAATGAATGAGTCAGTATTTGTTCATTTAGTGCTTGCAGGGATTTATGGAATGTAACTAGCACAAATAATGAGAATCAACCATGTATATGTGTATATACATCTGTATCTGCCTACCCATGCCTTCAGCTTTGCCTCATGTTGACTCATGCACAGACCTCCTCTCATCCTTTCTGGAGAGTAGACTTCTGCTAGAATTGGAGAAAGACAATCACCCAGGGGCTGTGGGATGAAGGGGGGCGTTCTAGGAATCTTCACTTCTTTTTAGAAAACTTTCTCCCTGATATTTTAGCAATCTCTTCTTCCTCCTCTTCACGTATCCTGTCCCTGTGTCAGAGGTATGTGCTGCTCCAGGGGTTTTTGTGATTTTGAAGGGCTCTGCAGTGTAAATCTGGATGGTTCTCAGTTTTTTCTACCATCAGCCTGGGAAGTGGATTTTGGTGTAGTTTTATGTCCTCCAGGTTGGCTACCATGGTCCATCAGCTTTCCAGATTGCAGTTTTTTTATTCTTGTCCTCTTTCCTCCCTGTCCTGGTCCTCCATGTTTCTACATCCCTTTACTGTAGTGTTTTGGGGGAAAGCAAAAATAAGATGGAGTGTTCTCTTTGCCATCCTAACTCATTAGTCTCAGTTCCTTTTTTTATAAGTCATGTTCCTGAGATAATAAGTTTCAGCTAGTATGCCACCCCCTTTGCCATAAGGCCCTGGAAGATGTCAATATTGCTAATATTTGCATGTCCTGGACTGCAAAGGACTTAAAAAGAGTTTCTTGACTCACTGACAGCTAAATGAGAAAATGTCTTCCTTTTTCCTTCTCTGTAATGCCTTTATAAGGAAATGTGGATTGGTAGGTATCTCTACAAAGCATTCTTAACTTCCAGCTCAGAAAGAGAATGTCTAGTCTCAAGTAGAATTTCTTCCAATTTCATTACAGCCGTAATCCTCTCCAGGTTTCTTATAAAATTTTTGAACTGAGATCTTTGTAATGCTTATTTTTTCATTGTTAACATACTAAACAAAACTGTTGATCACTTCCAGATCACTTTCCTCATTTTAAAAATTGTCTTAAGATTATGAACCAATGTATAAAAACAATAGCCACTTTAATAGTCTACTGAGACTCCAATTAGAGAGGGTAAAGTTAGAAATAGCTAAGTTAATACACATTGTTTTAGAATCTTTTCTATCAAAAGGGTTTTTTTAATGTCATTCTTTTATTTTTTAACAGCAATGCATAATCTTTATAGAAAAATTGAAAATTTAGGAAACTAAAGAAATAGTCACCTTTTTTCTTACCACTCAGAGGTAATTACTATATATTAAATGTGTAGTGTGTGTGTAACATATATATATGTATATATATCCTTCCAGTCTTTATTTGTAAATAAAATTTTCCATGTTATTCTCCCACAAATCATTTTTAATTACTACATTCTCATTCACTCATTGGCAACCTACTTCTATAAAGGCCAGAAAGTATAATTTTTGGCTTTGCAGCTCATAAGGTCTCTGTTAAAACTACTCAACTCTGCTGTTGTAGCACGAAAACGACAGCAGATATTTTATAAACAAACAAATGGGCCTGGCGGTGTACCATTACAACTTTATTTACAAGATCATGCAGCCTCTGATTGGGCCCACTGGCCACAATTTGCCAACCCCTAGATATGTAAACTTTTAATTTTGACATAATTCATGAAAAGTTGCAAAATATTACAGAGAGATTCCTGCACTCTTTATCCAGTTTCCCCCAAGTTACATCTTCACTACAGTACAGTGTAAATACCAGAAAGTTTGCATTGGTATAAGGAGTGTTTATAGTTCCATACCATGTTATTACAGGCATAACCACCACCTCAGTAAAGATACAGAACTGTCTCGTCACCCAGAGATCTTCCTCATTCCACCTCTGTATAGTCACAGCCACCTCCCTCCCTGACCATCCCTACCTCTTAGCAGTCACTAATCTCTTTTCCCCCTCAAACTTGTCATTTTGAGAATATTTTACAAATGGAATCATACATTATGTGACCTTTTGAGATTAACTTTTTTCACTCAGCAGTGAGATTGAGTCAGTTTGTGGCATGTATCAGTAGTGTTCCTTTCTATTGCTGAGCTGTGTTCCAGGGTATGGATATAGCACAGCTTGTTTAACCATTCACCTATTGAAGGGCGTCTTGGTTGTTTCAAAAGATTCTTTTAAGGTTCTGTTGATCTCTGTGTTTGGTTCTCCACGTTCCCTTTCTTCCTCACTGTCAAGCTTCCAAGTTGAATGTGGTTCAGAATGTGGTGGTCCATCTATCTCAGGTGTTCAATTGAGTCTTATTGTATCTGTCATTATTTCAAACGCATTGAATTCAGAACTCACTGATTTAAACCAAAGGTCATTGATCCTCCAGGGGCTTCCATTTGCTTTGCAGGTTAGTAGTGATACAGTGTCTTTCTGTTTATGGTGATCATTGAGTAAATAGTCTTAATACTTGTAGAGACAGAGACTCAAGTTTGAGTCTCATTGTTACTACTTACTACCTGTTGTCCTCAAGAAGTCACCTAACCTTGAACCTTCATTTTCTTATCTGTTAAAAAAAAAAAAAGTATCAACCCTATTTCATAGGATTGCTGTGAGGAGTTAAATGAGATTACATAGGAAAAGTGTTTGGGGAACAGGAAATCACCCTACAAATGTTACAGTAATAGTCATAAAAGTAAGTCATCCTTCATTAGTATTTTAGAAAAAAGTAGCAGTTTTGTAATTAAGATGAGTAGCTTTTATTAATGAGTAAGTATGTGGAGAGGTGGGATATCCTTGCTGGAAAAAAAAAAAGAAAAGACCCAGTTCTTACAGAGTTAGAAGGCCAGAAGAACAGAGAGGAAGAGTGGTATTTCTGTATGCTGTAATGGATGACCTGTGCTGCAAATATAATACCATCTGGCAGATGTGAGAAGAAATCATTTAAATCAACAGTGTCTGTAATGAGCTACCATCTGATTCCTGTTAATCAGGCCTTCCTTTTTCCAACTGTCTTCCCATGGTTTCCATGACCCTGTTCTCTCCTGCTTCTCCTTCTGGCTTATCATCATCATCTTCTTGGCCCTTAAATATGGAGTTCCCTGGGGATCATCCCTGTACTTCTCTTTCCATGACCTCTTCCCTGGCAATATCATGCCTTTACATCACTCTCCAAACAAAGCCTACATCTGTGTCTCTAGCCCTGACCTCCCTCATTTCCATCCTGCTGGCTGGATGACTCTATTTCAAACTCAGTATTTCCAAAGCTGAGGTCATTTTTCTTACAAGATGGCCCTTCTTTTCGAATTCTTTATTTCTATCCATAGTTCTACTGTCTTCTCAGTCCCTCAGCATTCTTCTCTCTGTCACCTCCCAAATCCCCCCACATCTAGTCATCTTATTGATTCTTTGACCACAGTTTCTCCCATTTCCTCTTTCCTTTCCATTTCAGGCCTACATCTTCTGCCTTTTAACTAATATCCCACTTTCCACCCTCACCACCATCCATTCATCCCTCCTCAGCTTTGTCACATAAATCTTCCACAGCTCTGTTCAGGTTCTTCCTACTCAGTGTCCTTGATTGCTCCCCTTGTTTGTAGAATAGAGCCCAAATGGTTAGTCTAATACAAAATCTTCTGCATGATCAAACTGCTTTTTTAATCTTATATACTCAACTCCAGATGAACTGAAAGGCAGTAATATGAAACAAAACTCTTATTTTTCAGAATTCCACAATGGTTTGCTTTTCTAACTTCATTTAAAGTAATTTATGGGCATACTTTCCTTTTCTATGCTGGACCCATGTATGGTTTCTCTCAGTATTCCCACAGAGTTACATATGGCAGGTGTTTAATTATTTATTGAATGATTGGTCCTATGGTAGAAACTCAATTCTTGTTTGACCCATACATGTAACAAGTAATTATTGAGAACCTTACTGTGGGTCAGGTACTTTGAGGCATTGGGATATAGTGGGCACAGTCAGTTTTTTTTTTTAATTTGAGTTTATTCTTCATTTAACTTGGAAAACACTACAATAATTGAATATTTAAAAAAAGGCAGTAGCAAGTAGTGAGCATATTATGATTGTAGGCCTTCACTCATTCTCTACTGCATATAAGACGTCAGCAGTGAATGTTCTTCACAGGCCCCATAGAGATCCTGCACTAAGCACCACCCCTGGGGTGATGTTCGTCATCCTCATGTGCTCCTCCATTGTATTGGCTCTGTCTTTTCCTGATTTGGAGCAAAGCCCACCAGTTCTACTTGGTCCATTTCATCCTCTTCTACTTCCTTCCTCTCAGGTAGGAGTTTTTCCGGCAAAGAGATTTATCAAGAGAGAGAAAGCCATTCTCAGGAAAGTTTACCTTAAATTCAATGACTAGGCAACCCTTTTCATGCTGTCCATGATAAAATGGCATGCCTTCATTTAGCACATACATGGCCTTACATTCTAGTAGCCGTCTTAAAAGATGTTACCATTGGATTACTTATGACTTCATACTAGGGTATCAACTTTGTACTTAAGTCTAAAGCTAAGCTATCAGGCAGTTAGTTTAAGAATATATTAAATATTAAATAATTATACTCTAGTTGCCTGAAGCATATGGAATTTATCTGTTCAGTGAAGTGAGAAGTCTAGGTTAGGAGAAGAAAACGGGTGAGTTTTACAAAGGATCTTCCTAATAGAAGGAAGTAGTTGGAGAGGGGAAAAGAGAGTGAGGATATCAAGCTATTGAGGTCTCCTCCAGTTAATCATTTCTTCTCGGGCAGGCAATTCTGTGAAATTAACATAATGTGCTCTTGGATCCTATACAGATGGCAATCAGGAATTATTTCCCTGTGAAGTCTGTGGAAGACGCTTTGCAGCAGATGTTCTGGTAAACATAAAGACATTTTGTAGATGTGTTTCATTGGAGTTAAATGAACTGTCAAGTCAGTGAGGAGGCCACAGTGGCAAAGATTAAAGACAGATGTGGAGGGAAAGCAAGGGGAGAAAAGTACATAACCTATGGCTGGCAGGCCCAGAGGACACTTAAGCAGATCAGTGCTGCCCCATTCAAAAGGGAACTTAATAAACATGGTCCTCTTACTAAAAGGAAGCCAGATGAAAGTATCTTGGCACAGCTGATTGTCTCTTGAGAGGTTTTGGCTCTTTCGCCTTTTCTATAAGCATCAAAAATTCAAATTTTAAGGCCAAAGCACCAGGGAAATTAGCTAGTCAAGAGGAATGAACATTGAATTTGGAGCATCTGGAAACTTGGCTTTTAGCCTCAAATTTGTCACTAATTCTGACAAGTCCTTTAACCTCCCTCTGTTTCCTGCTTTGCCACGTATAAAGACAGAACTCTCTAGTTTGAGGGGTTTTATGTAATTTGAACAAAATGGATGTAAGGCTTGTTCCAAGACCTAATTGTTAATTAGATTCAAGCTAACTGCATGTCAGGTCCCCGGATTGATGCCTATAAAGTTGAATAAAAGCTTGATTTATTTCAAAATTAGGGAAACAGGTAGTAGGCCCCCCATATTATGAAGGAGTTCCCAAGAAAAACGATTTAAAACAAAAATCTAAGATGATAATGAACTGTTGGGACATTTAGGTCAAAGAGACTTGTTTTGAACTTAAAAAATTTGGACTATAAACCTGACTACATTTGGGGCAAAAGACTACCAAATGAGGTTGTAGGTTTTATTTCTGTGGGGAATTTAAAAGTGAAATATCTGTTCTAGTTAACCGCAGCTAGAGTTTGCTGGATCTAGAAGGGGAACTCACAGGGCCTGTTGTATCCCAACAATCCACTAGGGAGCTTGCCTTTGCTAACCCAGGACTGCACCCCATGAGAATGGATTTGAGACCTAGAAGGTACCGTTTGAAGAGGGATCACTAAATGCCAAGTATTCTTGGGTCCTCTTGAGTTTTACTTCATTGACCCATTTCTAGGCTACAAAGAGCATTTGATCAAGTGGTCTGCTCTCTCTCTCTCTCCTTCAGTTTAAAGTGGTATGGCTTGTTCGTAGCCAGGTGCAGTGATTTTCATGGAGCCTGTATTTTTTGGGTCTGGACAAAGCAACTGTCTAAGTGATAGCTATTATGAGCTACATGACCACCAAGGAAGAGGACTTAAGAGTGGAAGGCAAAGATCCTGGCATAATCCCATAGTGGTGCAGTGCAGACTTTATAAAAATGGTACACAGGCAAAGCTCTGCGTGCTGGCTCCCTGGTTTTTTTTTTACCAGAAATGCTGAGTACTTACAGGTCTACTGCCTGGAGTAGTTTTCTCTGCCGCTTGTCTTAGTTTTCTCTGCCGATTGTCTTATAAGTATTGTAATATTTTAAAATTTAATATTATAAGCTTAGATTTGTTCTAAAATAAATGACTTCATGAATGTGAAATGTTTGGACACACTAAGGGAAAATGTCTTCATAACTTAAATGGAATTGGTGTATTTTTCATTCGTGGTATGGTTGTCCCAGTTGTTTCTTGCAGATGTTCTCAAATATTTCTTTGAAACCTCTCCACTCCTTTTCAGGGGTTAAGTGGTTTGATTTGCTGTGTGTAGAAAAGTAACCCAGTTAAACTCAATTTTGAAATGTTGAGTGGTAAGAAGAGTTTTTCTGAGAAGGTTCCACTGGTAAGAAGCTAAGTTTCCCCTTGCTGTATGCAAAGAGTTCCTTCAAAATGATGGGAAAACAATGTTAAGGTTATTGGGACTCAATTCCTGGATGACGTGCTTTTGGAATTTAAGAGCAGTGAAGGCAGGAAACAGAATAGAAGAAATAAGAAAAGTTCCTTGGCTTCAGTGAGTACCTAGCCGAATATCAGAAATAATTTATTTCAACTTAAACTAGAAAGTTTGCCTTTTCAACATTATTTAATGCTTGGAACTATTCATTGAGCCCAAGTGATAGAGTTAAATATGTAAGACCAAATTTTAAGTAAGTTTCTTTAGCTGAAGAGGCCTTTTATTGACCTTGCCCAAACACAGTATCTCGTTATGTGTAACATGGGTGAAGAGAGCCAGATGGATTTGCTCTGCTGTGATTTGAGAGTTAGAGAATGAACTTGGCTCTGAAGGTGCAACCCAGTCACTGCAGCAGGGGCTGCTTGAGTACACTGAGGCATTACGAACTTTGTGATTGTACATGTTAAAAATTTTAATCCCCACTCCTTCTTTTCTAGGAAAGGCATGGACCAATACGTAGAAAACTGTTCAACAAAAAGCGTAAACCTTTCAATTCCTTAAAACAAAGATTACAGGGCACTGACATTCCCACTGTGTGGAAGGCTCCTCAATCCAAGGTACTATCGATATCTTCCTTGCTGTTCTGGATTATCTCCTTCAGTACATTAAAGCCTTTTTCTGGCTCTCTGGTTTCATTTTTGCTTGATAATGCAGTGTAATGTCATGTAAGTATAATCCACCTTTACTGTTTTCTTTTTAATCATGCACACTTAGATTTCCAAATGTATTTCAGATACTTTCCAGATGTGGCCAAAAAAATCTCGTTTATATTTTCATTAGAGTAGCATTAAATCCAGCAATTAACTTGGAAGACAGTCATTTTTAATCTTACATTTAAGTCTTCCTTTAAAGTTTTGTAATTTCTTTGTTTTCCTGATTGTTATTTTGTGTTTTCCCTCACTGTTGTGACTTGCAAATTTTATTACTGTATTTTCCAAACCTCTTTTGATACTTTTGGAAAACAAATTCTCTTTTTTCTCCAAATTTCACAGTTCTGTTTCTTGTAAGTTCAAATCCTAGCTTTAAAAAAAATTATAATGGTGAGATATATAGTCTAGGTTAGTATACGTTTTATTTTTTTATAGCCTCAACCCATGAGAAAATCTAACTGGAGACAACAACATAAAGACTTCATTACTGCGATTCCATCAGCAAAGCAGTGTACACTAGCCATTAAAGAAGGCCGGCCTCTCCCACCTCCATCCCCTCCGTCCATCAGCCTAGATGTGTGTCCAGTTTGGTTTGCTTTTGACATATTACTCTTAACCAATTGAGGCTATGCTTGATTTTTGGCCTAGTCATTATGCCTTCCTCCTATAAACTCTAAAATTAACAATAGTAATTATATAAAAGTAAATTTATCATAAAATTTATGTTATCATATTCTTTTCAATTCTGTGTAAAGATTCTGTGTTTCCTTCTGACTCTACCTCAACATGAGTGCACCACTGTACCCAGTGTCATGGCATTACAGAACTCCAGGGGATGCCCCTCACATCCTGGTTTATGAGAACGGAGCTGGGCAGAGCAGTTTAAGCAGTTCTGTAATAGCTCCATAGCATCAAATACCCACAGCTCTTTTAATTTTTTGAGATAAAAATATAAAATCACCATTTTAACCATTTCAAGTTGTACAGTTAGTGGCCCACAGCTTTTTTACCCTAAGCTTTTTATTTTGAACATTTTCAAATATACAGAAAAGAGGAAGGAGTGGTACAATGATCACTCATATACCTTCCACTTAAATTTGACAATTTGGACATTATTGTCATATTTTTTATCTCTCTCTTTTTTTTGTGAGGGGGCACAAATATTTAAAAGTAAGTTTTAAACATCATCACACTTTACCCATAACTATTTCACCATGCATTTCTTAAGTACATTTTTCTGCATAACCACAATACTATTATCACACTAAATATATGAAGTCATATTTTCCCAGTTACCTTAAGAATGTCTTTTGAAGCTCTCTCCTCACCGCTCAGCCACAATCCAGGATTCAGTCAAGGTTCATGCATTGTCTTTCGTTGTCTCTTTAGTCCCTTTTAATCCTGCACAATACCCCTGCCAGGCCACTTATCTTTTAGAATGTCTCATATTCTGGATTTGTCTGCTTTTTAAGTCATATTAATTAACATTTAACTTGTTTCCCCATCCCCTGTCTTTTTGTAAATTAGAAATTAGGTCCAGAGGCATGATTAGATTAATGTTAACACGAATCCCTTATCAGGTATAGGATTTTCAGATATTTTCTCATTCTGTGGACTGTCTTTTCACTCTCTTGATGGTACCTTTGATGCCCAAAAGTAATTTGATGAAGTCCAATTTACCTATTTTTTTGTTTGTTGCCTAGCTTTTGATGTCAAATACTCCAGTATCTTGAAGTCTTTCCCCTGTGTTTTTTATTCTAACAGTTTTTATAGTTTTAGCTCTTATATTTAGATCTTTGATCCAAGTAATTTTTGAATGTGGTATAAAGTAAGATCATTGGAAGTTGGATATCTAGTTTTACATGTGGTACCTTTCTCAGCACTATTTGTTGAAAAGACTGTACCTTCCCCATTGAAAGGTCTTGGCACACTTATCAAAAGTCAATTGACTATATATATGAAGGCTTATTTCTAGGCTCTTTATTGTATTCCATTTTTCTATATGTCTATCCTTATACCAGTAGCACACTGTTTTGATTACTATAGCTTTGTAGTATGTTTTGAAATCAGGAAGTGGAGAGTATTTTAAGATTATTTTGGCTATTTAGAAACTTTAAGATTCCATATGAATTTTTAGGATGGGTTTATTTTTCTATTTCTGAAAATGCCATTGAGTTTTGATAGGGATTGCATTAAATCTGTACATCACTTTGGGCGTAGTTGTCATCTTAACAATATTGTCTTCCAGTCCGTGAACATGGAATGTCTTTCCATTCATTTACGTCCTCTTTAATTTCTTTCAGCAGTGCTTTGTAGTTTTCAGTGTATGAGTCTTTTGCCTCTTTGGTTAAATTTATTTCTAAGTACTTTATTCTTTTGATGTTATTGTAAATGGAATTGTTGACTTTCTTTTCAGATTGTTAGTGTATAGACGTACAGGCAATTTTTGTGAGTTGATTTTGTCCTGCAATTTTGCTGAATTTTGCTTATTAGCTCTAACAGTTGGTTTCTGGTGTGGAATCTTTAGGGTTTTCTACATATTTGATTATGTCATTTGTGAACAGAGATAATTTTACCTATTCCTCTCCTATTTGTATGCCTTTTATTTCTTTTTTGTGTCTAAACCTTCTGGCTAGAACTTCCAATATCATGTTAAATAGCACTGGTGAAAGCAGACATCCTTGTCTTGCTTTCCATTGAGTATAATGTTAGCTGAGGGTTATAAATGACTTTTTAAAGTGTAAGTAATAACATGGGTATTATAACATATGGAAGTGATATGTATGAAAATAATAGGATAAGGTTGAGTGAGCAAAATGAATGTATATTGTTGAAAGGTTCTTATGGTATACATGAATAGGTATAGCATTGTTTGAAGATAGAGTATTATATCATAAAGATCCCTATTAATAAGCCCTAGAGTAAACATTCAAAAATATTGATGTATAGCTAATAAGACAATACATAGACTGGAGATAAAATGGAAAAAAATTCAATCTAAAAAAAGACAGGAAAAGAGGAAAAAAGGAACAAAGACCTGGTAGGATAAAAACAAATAGCAAGATGATAGATTTAAACCTAACCATATGGACAATTGCATATAAATGACCTAAACACTTAGGATAAAGTACAGAGATTGTCAAACTGAATAATAAAGCAAGGTCCAATTATATGCTTTCCACAAGAAACACACCTTAAATATAAAGACACAAATAAGCAAGCTAGGCAGGTGACAAAATGAGGTGAGCCAGGTGGGCCTAGAGAGGCTACACCCTCCCTAAGGGACAGCTGCTCCTGCCTCAGCACACGGCTACCTCAAAGGAACGCACACCCAAGGTTGCTGGGTCTGATTTCTCAAAGGATGGCAGGAATGCAGACTTCCTTATTTATAAATATCAGAAACTCAATTTTTTAGAAACTTCAGGTTTCAGTCTCTGAGTTTACTTGGAGAGGTGGGGACAACTAGGACGCAACTCAAGGGGGATTGGTGGGAACTCTCTGTGTCTTGATCTGGGCTGGTTTCACGGGTGTGCACAGTTTGTGAGTATTTCATGGAGCCGTACACTTATGATTTGTGCTTGTCCTCTGGATAAAAAGAGAAATAAATACCAGCAATGTCTGAACAGTTGTAGATTGACATGTTAAAAGCACAGGAAAAGATAGATATGCATTCAAATAATCATAAAACTGGAGTAGCTAATACTAATATCAGGAAAAGTAAACTTCAGGGCAAGTATTATTAACAGAGATAATAATTAAAAAGATATATTCATCAAGAAGACCTATCAGTCTGAAATGCTTGTAACATTTTGACCCAGTTGACATCTATAGCTATAGTGTGATACACAGCAACAGCAGAATATAATTGTTATCAAGTACACATGTAACGTTCAATCAAGATAGGCCATGTGCAGGACCACAAAGTGGGTCTTAATAAATCTAAAAGGACTGAAATCATACTATGTTATTTGACCACAACAGAATTAAATTAGAAATTAATGATGAAAATATATCTAGAAAACTCCTGAATATTTGGAAATAAATCATTTCTAAATACCCCATGGATCTAAGAAGAAAGAACAAGAAAAATTAGAAAATATTTTGAACTGAATGGTAATGAAAACATACCAAAATTTGTGGGATTCAGCTAAAGCAGTGCTTAGAGGGAAGTTTATAGCTTTAAATGCTTATATTAGAAAAGAAAAAAGGTTTAAATCAATTGCCTTAAACTTCCTCTTTGAAAAGTTAGAAAAAGGGCTTCCCTGGTGGCGCAGTGGTTAAGAATCTGCCTGCCAATGCAGGGGACACGGGTTCAAGCCCTGGTCCGGGAAGATCCTACGTGCAGTGGGGCAACTGGGCCTGTGTGCCACGGCTACTGAGCCTGCGCTCTAGAGCCCGTGTGCTACAACTACTGAAGAGCCCATGCTCCACAACAAGAGAAGCCACCGCAACGAGAAGCCCACGCACCACGACACAGAGTAGCCCCCGCTCACGACAACTAGAGAAAGCCCGCGCGCAGCAACGAAGACCCAATACAGCCAAAAATAAATAAATAAATTTATTTTTTTAAAAAAAGAAGAACAAATTACACCTAAATTAAGTAGAAGGAAGAAAATAGTAAATGTAATTCATCATATTAACAAAATATTTTTTAAAGCATGTGATCATCTCAGTAGCTACAGGAAAAAAGCCTGTGAGAAAATGTAATACCCATACATGTTTAAAAAAGAAAACTCTTAGAAAGGTAGAAATAGAAGGGAACTTCCTTTTAATAAAGGACATCTCTGAAAAATCTACAGCTAATATCACACTTAACGGTGAAAAGCTGAACAGTTTCCCACTGAATTTAAGAAAAAAGCAAGGATGTCCTTTCTGACCACTTCTAGTTAACACTATACTGGACATAGTACCCAGTGTAATAAGAAAAAATTATATATTTTATACACACACATACATACACATAAATTTAAAGGTTGGAGAGGAGGAAGTAAAACTATCCTTATTCACAGACAACATGATCATGAATGAGTAAATGTAGAAAATCTTACGAAACTACAAAAAAAGCTACTGAAATTAAAAGTTCCTTTAACAAGCTTTCAGGTTATAAGGTCAATATACACAAGTGAATTGTATTTCTATATACTAGACATAAACAACTGAAAAAATGAAATGAAAAATGCCATTACAATCATGTAAAAAACATGAAATACTTAGGCATATATTTAACAAAATATGTGTAAGACTTTTAAAATGAAAACCACAACACATTGCTTAGAGGAATTAAAGAGGACTAAAATAGATGGAGAGATTTACCATTTTCATGGTTTGGAAGACTCATGCATTGTGTTATGATGTCAGTTCTCCCCAGATTGATCTATGGACTCAATGTAGTTCCAGTGAAGATCCCTGCAAGTTTTCTTTGCCAAGTAGGAATTGACCAGCTGATTCTAAAATTACACAGAAATTCAAAGGATCTTGAATAGCCAGGATAGTTTTGAAAAAAGAATAAAATTGGAGGACTTACACTACCTGATGTCAAGACTTACTATAATGTTACAGTAACCATGGAAATTTGGTATTAATATATCAGTTGAACAGAAAAGAGAATCTAAATATTGATCTCCAGATCTCCCAATCTGGGCAGTTGATTTTTAACAAAAGTAATTCAACATGGGAAAGGATAGTCTTATACTATACACAAAAATGAATTCAAAATGAATCATTGACCTATAAAGTGCTACAACTATAAGATTTCTAGAAAAACCAAACATCTTTGATCTAAGAGTCAACAAAGATTTTTTAAGCAGGACACAAAATGCAGCAACAGGTTTTTAAAAAGGAAGTTGATAAATTGGGCTTCACGAAAATTAAAAACATTAGTTTTGAGAGACACCATTAGGAAAATGCAAAGGCAAGGTACAGGATAAGAAAATATTTATAATGTATCTGATGAAAGTCAAATATCAAAAATATATAAAGAAGTCTTATAACTCAATAATAAGACAACCCAATAAGGAAAAGGCAAGAGATGTATTTGAACAGAACATCACAAAATAATGGTCATTAAGCATGTGAAAAGATACTCAACATCATTTTCATCAGGGAAATGTAAATTAAAACCACAGTGAGGGGACTTCGCTGGTGGCGCAGTGGTTGAGAGTCCGCCTGCCAATGCAGGCGACACGGGTTTGTGCCCCGGTCCGGGAAGATCCCACATGCCGCGGAGGGCTGGGCCCGTGATCCATGGCCACTGAGCCTGTGTGTCCAGAGCCTGTGCTCTGCAACGGGAGAGGCCACAACAGTGAGAGGCCCACGTACCGCAAAAAAAAAAAAAAAAAAAAAAAAAAAACCACAGTGAGATACCACTACGCACCCACTTGAATGGCTAAAATAAAAAACTGACAATACAAGTGATGGTTAAGATATGGAACAACCGGAACGCTCATACGCTGCAGCTGCTGCTGGGAGTCTAAAATGGTACAGCCACTTTGGTGTTTTCTTAAGTTAAACATACACTTACCTATACAGTGATTCCACTCCTAGCTGTTTGTGCAAAAAATGGAAAACATGTCCTTAAAAAAGACTTACATATTAATGTTTATAGCAGCTCCATTTAAGTAGCATAAACTGAACATGACCATCAACAAGTGGATGGATAAACAAACTGTGGAATATTTACAAAATGGAATACAACTGAACAGTAAGAAGAAAGTGCAACTATACATGCAGCACACCATGGATGCTGTCTTGTAGTAAGATATAGAAGAGGTAAAACTTTAATGACAGGAAAATAGATCTTTGGTTGCTTGAGTCTGGGTTTGGGGAAATTATTGACTGAAAAGAGGCATGAAGGAACTTTTGGAGGTAATAGACTTGTTTCATATTTTAATTGGGGTGGTTACACAAATGTATGTATTTGTCAAAACTTTTCAAACTGTACACTTAAAATAGGTGCATTTTAATGCACATAACTTTTTCCTCAAAGTTCATTCTAAAAAGTGTAAAAAGGGAATTCTCTGGTGTTCCAGTGGTTAGGACTCCACACTTAAACTGTCGAGGGCGCGGGTTCGATCCCTAGTTGGGGAACTAAGATCTGAGATCCCGCAAGCCAAGTGTTACAGCCAAAAAAATAAATAAATAAAATAAAAAGTAAAACAAACAAAACCAAAGTGTAATACTATAAAAATCATCCGTAAAATAAATCATCTGAACTTCAGTGCCAGAAAATACTCTTAATAATTGCTTCATTTTTGCTAGGTGCTTATGAAAATTAACTTGAAATCATGTGTTGTCTTAAGATGTTCCATAGAAAGATCTATGGCTGTGATTTTGATAATACTTTAGCAGCAAGCTTTGTATAATAAAAGCATCTTTTATGAGAACTACTTCATTTTAATAGCAGAAGCTGCAGGGTTGATGGCTACCTTCTAGTTCTTTAGTTGAATAGTGAAACCATGTCAGATGGTCTGCTGTGTGAATTTCTCTAATTTCCACATTGGATTTAAAATGTGGGGATTATTGTTTCTTTAAAATAAATAATTCCCTTTGTGTACAGGCCTCATCAAGTGTACAGTTTATTTTTCTGCCCTTTACATTTTTATGCTGAAATACAGTTTTATAATTAAATTCTTCCCTATGCCCTTATTATAATTTTATGCACCAAGCAAAATGATTACCTCCAATAGCACATTTTCATTACTATTCAATTATTTTGATTGTGCAGGGATTTTATATTAGCCCATATATTCTCCAGCTTAAATACTTAGAAAATTTATACAGTATTACTAGTATTATTAATCATATGGCCTAGTATGTATGAGTTTGCAAGTAATTTCCATTTTTTTTCCAGCATGATTCCTTATTTCATGGCTCAGTTTTTGTGACGTGCATATATTTATTCTAATTCTTACTGACTTAAGTCAATCATTCAACTTTCCAGGATTATGTGACAGTTTATGAGGGCAGTGATATAGAATATTTACAATTGGGATTTTCAGTGGTCCTGGGACATTTGGTCCACGTTTCACAGGGCTATGTAGACATGGGTACTCAACAAAGTGCTTGCATTTTTAAATGATGCTTGTTTTTCTACTTTAATCTTTTATGAGATATGGAATAAGACATTAAAAATCATTATCAGGAATCCCTTGGTGGTCCAGTGGTTAAGACTCCAAGCTTCCACTGCAGGGGGCACGGGTTCTATCCCTGGTCAGGGAACTAGGATCCCGCATGCTGCACGGTGTGGCAAAAAATAATTAATAAATTAATTAGTTATAAATCATTATCTATTGAAATAGATAGCACATAGTGATTTTTATGACATCATTATTGATAGAGGAAGAGGTGACTCAGATTGAGACGAGGGTCGAACATGTAGCTCAGTCATGCTGTGTTCAAATTATTGTTGCAAGAAAAGAGTTTTTGCATTCTCAGTATATTTGATGTTCTCTTCCTCTGCCCCTTAAGTCTGGGCTTTGTGTTCCTCCTGTGGACTCCTGGAGGACCTAGTGCTTCCTCCTTTCAAAACTTATTCCCCGGAGTGGTAATTGTCTGCTTCTTCACCTAGGCCTCTAGTCGTCTCTAAGATCTTTGTCAGCAGGGAAATACTACACTTCAACTTGGTTTCCACCACAGTGCATATAGTGCCAAACACACAGAAGGGCACAATGAATGAATGAACAAGTGGGATTAAGGAAGCAACACAGTCACTGCCATCATCACTGTCTTTGCCCAAACTGAGTCTGGTTTATGGTAGCAGCATTTCTGATATAAACCTTGACTTTTCAGCCGGTAAAACTAAAGAAATAACCCCTGAACCACGAACCCAGTTCTAGATGTTTTTCTACACCATCGTAAATGAGTTCTGCATGATAATGGCACTTTCTAGTTTAGTTTTCATAAGCAGTTTCTTTCCTGTTTGATATTTGGAACACAACCTGGCTGGGCCTGTTTCCTTATAGTTACAGCATGTTCTACCCACCCACTGTACCAGGCCCTACTGTGGATTATCATAGTTAACTTTCATAACAACTCAATGATACAGGTGATATGTAGGTACTGGGGAAACTGAAGCTTAAGGAGGTTCAGAAACGTGCCCAAGTTCACACACATAGGTGAAGAGCTCAGGCTCAAAACCAGCCAGGCAGGCTGCAGAGCCTTCACCATTTCTATTTTATTTTATTTTGTTCTATTTTATTTTGTCCTGTTCTATTTTGTTCAAGGAATTTGTCACCATGGGAAAATTTTGTTTCTGTATTAGAATGCTTAGTCCTTGATTACAGAGACATTGTATCCCCAAGTTGCTTGGAGCATAATAGGTGTTCAGTAAGTATGGAATTAATGATGAAGTAATGCCTTCCAGAGTGTGCAATAAACTGTTAGGTTAAGTGCTAACCGTTTCTTTCATTCCAATTTCTTACATATTCCAATTCTTTCATTTTATGAGTATTCATTTTAGGAAATGATTTGTTCAAGTAGAAAACTCCCCAAACTGCTTTAAAATATGTCTTCAAAAAACTCTTAACTTTGAAGACATCACTGCCTTAAATACCCATTCACACATGTAGGAATTTTGACTCTATACTAAACCAAACTTCCACACAGAGTTTAAGGTGGTGCCGTCTCAGGTCCTTCCTGGGGAGAGAGGTAGTTATTCTCTTACGTTGCACATATCCACTTTGTCATCCTTCCAGGCGCCTAAAGCAAAACAAAACAACACGACCCCCATGGTCCCCCTTGCTTTGGAGGAGGAGGCTCCAACCTGGTTTTGGAACATGTGAGCATCTCCACGTTCTGAGAAGACCTTAGATCTTTCTCACTTCTCCTTTTTCCCACTGTCTAGTAATTGCAAATGAGACCAATGGGTATTCCCCAGAACCTCAGAGGACCCTGTGCCCTCAGGGCTGCCAGAGAGGTTCTAACACAGGAAGCTCTTCCCTTTTCTGTTTTTGAACCCTCACCTGCTCCCTTTTCCTAACCCCCTTTCTGAACATATCAGTTGCCTCCTCACTTAGGAGTTCAGTGGGAAAATCTGGCCACTGCAGAAGGACTGTGTCATTGGTTTCAAATGCCATCCCCCAAACCCACATTTTGAAACATCTTACTCCCTCTGTAGCTCCATAACTTTTGTATAAACTTCTGCCCCACTCAGTACCACAACTGGGGCTTTTGAATCTTCTGTGCTCTTCAGTCATCAATATCAATATTCTGTGATTCTGGGACTCCTTTCTTTACATAATCGTTCACTAAATAATTCATTTAATTGGGAAGTTCCGAAGTATATATAATTAATCTATTTTCTAAGAAAGCAACATAGCATGTAAACATTTTAAGGGAACACTTTTAACTGAAATAAGTGTATAGGTAGAAAAAATTTACCAAACCTTGTCCTTTATTTGAGCCCTTGCATGTCTCCCCCTCTGGAATAGCCTGTCTCAAACCAGAGTTTGGTACCTCTCTTTCATGTTGGAGCAGAGTTCATATTCTGTTTACTTCATTTCATATAGTCCCTTCCAGAGTTGTTTTTGAAATGTTAATTGCTTTTTTGTTGTTATCTTTACATTCAGATTATATTCAGTGTCCATATTGTATGAGGAGATTTAATGAAACTGCAGCCAGTCAACACATTAATTTCTGCAAGGATCAGTCTTCTCGCCGAGTCTTTTATCCAGCCCAGACAGCAGCCAAATTGGCAACCAGGGCGCAGGTGAATATCTCTCCCCAAGTGCTGGCTCTTGTGCCCTTACATGCCTGGGGAAAGCAGGTAGAATTTGCTAGGGAACCTAAATTACCCATCCTGAGAAGTGTGAGGATCGAGATAGCCAATTACTGTCACTCATCTTCATGGGACTTGGCTTCTTTTTGAGGGGTGCTTCCCAGCTAACAGCACCTTTGGGTGTTGTAGAAAAAAATTTTCTACAGTGTTTGAAGCTTCTTAGGTTGAAGACTTAGATGTATAAGTAGTGCTTCTGTAGTATTACGGTAAAATTCTAACCAATGGTGGTTATCAGCCTTAACCACCTCAAAAAGACTCTTGAACCTGAGGTGAAACTGGCCTAAGTGGGGGAAGCCGTCACAAGGGAGGCCTTGTCCTACAGGGCATGTGTTTGCTCTGTGGAGAGGGGTCTTCACCCTATTCAAAGCCAGAGTCAGCAATTGAAGGTAAATGGATAAAACAGCTGTTATAAATAGGTACAAATAAGTAAAATAACACTGGATCAGGAAGACAATATATTTATAAAAACAACACTGGGGAGAGCAGACAGCTCCATACACATCAAAGGTGCCGGGGACATAGCTTACAGCATACCATGAGAACCATTAGTTTCATAAACATGGCTTAGATACCAAGAAAAGATTAAATTGTTCTGAATACTTAACAGTATGAAGCATGTTTAGAAAGATTTCCATGATATCCAATATGTAATAGGGATGGGACCCTCTCTAACGATAGCACACCCCACGGACTATGGACCTGAGCTCTAGCTCAGCATATACTAGACAGTTGCTGGATATCTGTGCTGAAGCAGCCACTGTGCCAAGTGCTGGTTGACCAAGGATTTGTGACTTGGAGGAGGAGGTGGCCTTGGAAACAGTGCAGTAGGAAGGTGTAGTGGTTGGCATATGCAGGAGCGAGATGGAGGCAGAGGCCACTTGTGATTCAGCAGAGGCTTCAAAGAGAAGCAGATACTTTCTGCAAAATAGCAGATGGGTTTACCAGTCTAGATTTGAAGTTGGGAAGGACACTGTGCACAAAGTGTCCAGCTCGTGGCCTGAGGAGCCCACCACGTGGAGCAAAGCCTAGAGTGCCTGTGGCTGAGTGACGGGATGGGACAGTCCAGGTGAGCGTCAGAGCCACAAGGGCTTTAAGCCAGGCTGGCTCAGAGAGGAGGAAAAAGGGGATTAAGTGAATAGGTGCCCTAAATCTGAGGCCAGCCAGCCTGAGGGCCTGGAAGCAGGAATTGAAAGTTCCCTGGAACCCAGGAAGTCCTCCTGTCCATCTTTCCATCTTGTCTCTTCTTCCCGCTCTGCTGCTGCTTTCTCTTCTCCCTGCAGACTGACCTTCTCAGCTTTTCTGTCCAACCATCCGTCACTGGCCTCATTCTATATGCAGAGTAAACTGGTCACATAGTGCAGACTGGAGTGACATGGAATTGGTTTTTTAGAAAGATCACCCTTGCAGTTAGTGTTCAAGATGGTTTGGCGAGAGACCAGTTAGAAGCCACAACAACAGGAAAAGAAAATGAGGGCTCAGAGTAAGAAGACTAATGGGGTGTGTGTGTGGGTGTGTGTGTGGAGGAGCGGGTAGATTTAAGAAATAATTGTTGGGATGGAGAAGCTGATCGAATATAAGGTAAAAGAGGATCAGGGTTGGCAGAAAGGTTTTTAGCTCCAGAGCCTGGCCGATAATACGACACATCTAGATAAAGGAACACAGGAGGCAGGAGATAGGTGTGTTGGTGGGGCAGGCAAGGTGGTTATGATAAATATAGTTGTAGAGATTCAGTCTTTACACCTGAAATATCATGGGAAGCAGTGCAATGTAGAAAGAGCCCAGATTTTTCAGTCAGTAGTCAGGGTTTGACTTTCAGTTTTATATTATCTACAGGTAAACTTGGAAAAGTTACTTCAATTCTTTGAGGCTCACTTTAACGTGTGTCTTGCCGAGCTGTTGGGAGGATTGTAGGTAATACCAGTACAGTGCCTTGCACACAGGGTGCCCTGGCCTTTTCCTCTTTCCACATTGCCCCGCCCTCCTTCCCCTCTCATGGTCTTTTCCTATAGTGGGATAGGCCCCACAATTTGGTGGGGAATATGACTGCTTTGGGCTTGACTTCAACTTAGTTTTGGAAAAAGGACAACTCTATACTTCCTAAAGCAGTAAAGAGTGCATTATGTTTCTTCGAACGATTCTTCTAACCAGTCCACAAAGTTAGTGGGCGTCAGTGGGCCCAAGGGGAGCAGAGGGAAGCAGCGGACGGAAGTGCTTTTTATTCCTGAAGAAGGCCAGCTGGCTGTCCTGAGTGCAACCAGTGACTTGGCCCTGTTCCTCTCCTTGTTTTCCAGAGCTAAGTGGTGATTGGGAACACAGAAGAAAAATTGCTTGCTTTCTGAATTGCTTGCTTTCTGAGTAAACTCGCTGTAGAGTGTATTTGAACAGCAGCGCTGTTTCCCTTATGCCAGCTTCACCACTCTGGGGCCCTGCCTAATAGTGGAGCTTATTCAGAAGGAGAACAAAAAGGGAGGTGTTGTTTCAGTTTTGAAGGGCTGTTAACAGCACAGCTGAAATGTGTTTCTATTTTAAACATAATCAAGTATAAAAATGTGTTATACCCTTAACCAAAAGAGACCAGTATGGGCCTCTGAAAATAGCTTTCTTTGTTTGGCTGGGGATGAACTGCCTGCTATAGCCTCCTAGCTCTCCTTGCCCAAGTGAGGATTCTCACTTGGAGGAACAGGTTATCTTTATACTGGAGTTGCCATGGAGATGTTGAGGGATCAGTAGCGAGGTAAAAAGGAGTATACAAAGGAGCTCCCAAGGAACCTTTTGGTCCTTCTTCTGTATTACTGTGACTGTTCTGCTACTGCTGCTCAGCAGGGAGGGGAGTGGCATGGAGATGTTGGAATTCCATGTTTAAAACACTTGCTGCCTGCCAGTGTCTGTTTTTCTTCTCTGTTCATGTATTTAAAAACAAAATCATCTTCAAGTGTAATGAAAAACTAAAATGTTCCATAACTATCCTTATTGACATTAAGTGATTTCTTATGTCTCCATACAACTAATTTTACAGGATTAACATATCACCACTCCACCAAGGGCTTGATTATGGAATGAAAGCTCTAAAGCCCCAGACATGGTTTTGAGCCCCAGAAGGGAGGACAGGAATCAGGCTACTAAGGTACAGGGTGTGCGTGTCCCCCTCCTCTGGGTGTCGCAGGTCCCAGACATGACTCCATCCTGCTGCTGGTGAAGGGGAGACAGCTTTACATCCTGTGTGCTACCTGAGGTTACAGAACTCTTCCCCTCTGCCCCCTCTCTCTCTGTCTCTCTCTCTCTGTCTCTATGTCTTTCTGTCTCTTTCTCTGTCTCTGTCTCTGTGTCTTTCTGTCTCTCTCTCTCTCTCTGTAGGGTAGGGTTCAGATGAGTCCAAAAAGAGGAACGACTGTAACCAGTGCTGTGGGAGCTCTGCTGCAGAACAGGGCCCTGGAGGCCAGTGTGGTCCCAACCAGGCCAGGTGAGTTGGAGTGAGCATCTCAACTATCGAATGACAGAGTCAGAGGGGGCCACTGTTGGCTTTGGGATTTGCTGGCAGTCAGCAAAAGCTATGACATCTAAAGTTGCTTTGGGATATAAAGATATGTGGGTTTGTTTGAGGTTAAAACTTATTTGCCAAGAAAGGATATTTCCTAATTTACCAGGATTAGACAACTCTGAAAATGTACAAAGTTAGATCTGATTACAACAGCGGGGTCTAGAACCAATGTTCTCTGGTCTGGTAAAATTAAAAAGAGATTAAAGTTAGGAGATGGCACTGTGCCAGGTTTTGTGTTGAGAATAAGGGAAGAAAATGAAATCACTGTCTCAGAGAGATGTCCATACTCCCATGTTCATTACAGCATTTTTCAAATAGCCAAGATATAGAAACAACTGACGTGTCCGTTGATGGATGAATGGATAAAGATGGGGTATATATTATTCAGCAATAAAAAGAAAAGGAAGGGCTTCCCTGGTGGCGCAGTGGTTGGGGGTCCGCCTGCCGATGCAGGGGACGCGGGTTCGTGCCCCGGTCCAGGAGGATCCCACATACCGCGGAGCGGCTGGGGCCGTGGGCGCTGGGCCTGCGCGTCCGGAGCCTGTGCTCCGTGATGGGAGAGGCCACAGTGGTGGGAGGCCTGCGTACCACAAAAAAAAAAAAAAAAAAAAAAAAAGGAAATCCCTCCATTTTCGACAACATGGATAAACCTGGAGGGCATTATGCTGAGTGAAATAAGAGAGAAGGAGGACAAATACTGTATGCCCTCACTTACGTGTGGAACCTTAAAAAGTTAAACTCGTAAAAATGGAGAATAGAATGGTGGTTGCCATGGGTGGAGGGTAGGGTGGGAGAAATGGGGAGATGTTGGTCAAAGGGTACAAACTTCCGGTAATAAGATGAATAAGTTCTGAGGATCTAATGTACAGCATGGTGACTCTAGTTAACAGTACTGTATTATATACTTAAAAACTGCTAAGAGAGTAGATCTTAAACGTTCTCACCACATACACACAAAAGTAACTGTGAGGTGATGGGTGTGTTAACTAATCTTATTGTGGTAATCATTCTGCCATATATACGTGTATCAATCATCATATTGTACACCTTAAACTTATACATTATATTCAATTAGATCTCAGTAAGGCTGGAAAAAAAGAAAAAAGGGAAGAATTTCCTTCCTAGAATGAAATAATTTCTTCAAGTAACTGAAAAGGTATGACCACCATTATAGTACTTACTATATGCTTGACCCATTTAATGTTCGCAATAATCCTCCAAATGTTTTAATCTATGGAAAGGGAAACTGAGGCACACAGCTGGTAAACAGCAGAGCTGGATTAGATATCTACTGTGCTTTCTCTCTTCATTGAGCTGCATTAGTAATAATGCGCATTCTTCTTTATGATCAGCATGTACTATGAAGGCAATATGAATTAATTCATGATCATATTGGCCCATCTGGTCACAAGTCTTATTTTGAAGGTATTAATCAGAACCAGAATAAGAAGTGCCAATTTCACAGTCAAAGTAATAATAGCACTGGAAATTTTTATCATTAGTTTTTAAATTCCTCATGAGTTGCTTATCATGGGCTTAAAAATTGAATTGATATTTTAAAAATTTCCCCACAGCCATCTAAACTCCAATCATTAGTTTTTTCCTGATCTGCAGAAACTTAACAATGGGGTAGGTTTTAGTTTTCACTTAGAAAAAAATTAATTCAAATTATATATGTGTTCTTTTGGTAAAACTTCCACTAACAAGCTTTTTTCTAAAGTGTAACAATTAGTGTCCTTCAGAAAAGACAATTTCTTTCTACTATAGCTTCTTTTCGTATTTTTTCAACGAATATATTATAATGCTTCCCTTCCAGTGAAAAACATCCTTTTGATTTTGAGGTTGAAGCTTATTTGCCAAGAGGGAATATTTCTTAATTCATCGGGATTAGACAACTCCGACAGTGTGCCAAGTCAAATTGAGTACAGCCTCGGAGTCCAGGACTTTCATTCCCCACTTCAGTAAACCTGGAAAGAGACTGGGAATCGGGGGAGACAGGCGTAGTGTTGAAAATAGGGGAAGAGTTTCCTTCTGTGAACTAAATAATTTCTTTAAAGCAGCAGCAAGGCACCAGTGGAACGGTCCTGAATTAGGGCTTAGCAGTCCCGTGTCCCCGTATGTGGCATTAAGCGGGACGCTACAAAGACAACAATTTGATACACTAGGAAACAGAGGAGTAGGCCAGCAGATCTAAGCAAAACGGTATTACATTTGTTCTTGACTAGTTAGCCGTGGTTATAACTACTGTGATGTTGCCAAGTAAAAGGCAGAGTCCAGCAGGGCCCGCACTAGGTTCTGTACCACCACCTGACCTCGCCGTCCACTGTCTCTCAGTCCAGCTGCAGCAGCCTGTGTTGCTCCTGCTCACTCCCGGCTCAGGGCCTTTGCACTGGCTGCCCTCTCTGCTGAAAGCCAAAGCCCTCCCTCCCTCCAGTTCTCTGCTGAGAGTCCTCTTTCCCGTGTGCCTCACCCCCAGCCTCTGTACTTAGAAGTGATCAAGGCCTCCATAATTCTCTTTGTCGTTTTTCAAGATGGCATTTATCATCATCTGATTTCATTACAGGTTTGTTTATCTCCTCCTTGTCCCCCCACCCCCAGATAAAGGGATGTAAGGTTCAAGAAGGCAGGGATCTCTCTGGTCTATTTTGTATTGTGCTGCTGTATCCCTAGCTGTTAGAATTGTTCACGGCAGTTATGAAGTGCTCAGTAAATACTTTTTGAATGAAATATGTTGGAGAAAAGTGGGTATCTTGAGTCTATAATTTCTCACTTAGATTACTGGCATATGATAGAATTGTCCTGTTAATTAGCTTTAAGAGGTAGCTTTTTGTTTTATTTCAGGCTTAAGATGCTTTTTCAATTTAATTCTTTCCTGTGGCCTCACCTGTTTACATTTAAAATTAAAATTGTCAGGGTTGGTGTGCCTTTAAATTAGGCACATTTCATTCGGAGCCATTCTGGGGAGGAAGCAGAAGTGTACTGAGGGGAGGTTAATTTTCAAAACTCTTCAAGGCTTGGAGAAAAGCACTGAGTCCCTCTCGCTAATGTAAACAGGCCCTTGTGTGAATCAGATTCACATCTGCTGGCCGTTGTTTTTGTTCTGGTCAGTATTAATCTATTTGTAATATGGGGGCCTTTTAAAAATTGTTGTTGGTCTTGCTATTTCTACATTGACAGTCGATAGTTAAGCTACTTGGTGTCCCTCGCCTTCCACATAAATTCTTTACTGTCTTCATCTAGCTGGTAGTTAGCCCTCTAAAACTCTGGCTATCATTCTTCAACTCTCTTGAGTAAAATAAGCATTTAGAATCTCTCATTTAATAACATTTTGTTCTGAATTCACCGTCAGGGGAAATGTGTGTCAGGCACAATCCTTATCCATCCCAGAGTCTTCTAAGAAGTTTTGTATGTAGAGGAAAATCTCTGCCCAAGAGAACATGTGACGTTACATGAAGTTGATACACAGCTGCCATGGATGTTTAAAAGGATTCATTCACTCAGCACCTAGTTATTGTGTATGGTTGTTTCTTACACCCATGGATTCTTTAAAAAGTCTAGGGGGAGAGGCAGTCAGTAATTATTAATATCTAATATTTAACAGTGGGATATAAAAGTCCTAAGGGAATCAAGAGATCAACTTTGCTGAGGAGGCTTTATGGAGGAGGTGACAGTCACAGAGAGGAAGCTTCATAGAGGTAGAAGCATTTGGGATGAGCTTTCAGGATGAGCTACATTTTTTTTTTTTAATTCAGCCTCAGTTTCTTTGTTTTGTTTTTTTTTAAATTTATTTAGTTGTGCTGGGTCTTAGTTGCGGCAGGCGGGCTCCTTAGTTGTGGCTTGCCAGCTCCTTAGTTGCAGCAGGCAGGCTCCTTAGTTGTGGCTCGCTGGCTCCTTAGGTGAGGCACGTGGGCTCCTCAGTGCGGCATGCATGTCTAGTTCCCTGACCAGGGATTGAACCCAGGCCCCCTGCATTGGGAGCGCGGAGTCTTTTTTTTTTCTTACTATTTTTTTTAACATCTTTATTGGAGTATAATTGCTTTACAATGGTGTGTTAGTTTCTGCTGTATAACAAAGTGAATCAGCTATAGATATACATATATCCCCATATCTCCTCCCTCTTGCGTCTCCCTCCCACCCTCCCTATCCCACCCCTCTAGGTGGTCACAAAGCACTGAACTGATCTCCCTGTGCTATGCGGCTGCTTCCCACCAGCTGTTTTACATTTGGTAGTATATATAAATCCATGCCACTCTCTCACTTCGTCCCAGCTTACGCTTCCCTCTCCCCGTGTCCTCAAGTCCATTCTCTACGTCTGCATCTTTATTCCTGTCCTGCCCCTAGGTTCTTCAGAACCATTTTTTTTCTTTAGATTCCATATGTATGTGTTAGCATACAGTATTTATTTTTCTCTTTCTGACTTACTTCACTCTGTATGACAGACTCTAGGTCCATCCACCTCACTACAAATAACAATTTCGTTTCTTTTTATGGCTGAGTAATATTCCATTGTATATATGTGCCACATCTTCTTTATCCGTTTATGGGAGCATGGAGTCTTATCCATTTCACCACCAGGGAAGTCCCAGGATGAGCTAGATTTTGACCAATGGAGAAAAGTTGCAGAAGCAATGAACAAAGATATGGAAATAAGAATGCAGAGGACATACTCTGGAAACAAATGGCCCATTTGGCCAAAGCACGGAGAAGAACTGGGGTTAAAGTTAGAATGGAAGGCTGACACTAGAGCAAGGAGGGCCGTAAATGCTTGGCGAGACGTCCAGACTATGTGATTAACACCGAGGCTGGTGTCACATCCCCAGGCACGCGCATCTATGTAAGTTAGACTATTATGATGACTTAGAAACTTCTTGGTTCTAGACACTTTTAGTCTGCAAAAATGTCTCTTGAGAAAGAGCACTTTTTTTTAGTTGCCATGTAAGAAATTAATGCTTACTGTAGAAGATATTGGAAAATGGTATAAAGAAATGGTATAAATGGTGTAAAGAAAGTAAAAGATGTCCATAATTCCACACCCTGTTAACATTGATATCTCTTTTCATTTTTTCTCTTTATACTCCTTTTTTGTTTTCCTTTTATCCAAAGCTAGGATCAAAGTCTGTGTACACTTCCTGACTTTTTTTCACTAACAAACTTTGAACATTTCCCTATGGCAAAGAGTTTCTTTAAAAACATGGTATCATATCACAAAAATACAATGTAACTTGTTTATCTGTTTTCCTGATTGAATAGGTAGGTTGTTTCTACTTTTTTGCTGTACTGAATATCCCTTCTTCATGGACAGTAGCCCATGCTTAATTGTACACTCTTCTAAGCTCTTCATATATTAATCTTCATTAATCCTCATTTAATCCTCAAAGTAACACAGGGGAGTAGACATATTATTCATATCCCTAGTTTACAGGTGAGGAAAAGCAACTTGCACAAGTAATTTTTAATAGGAAATGGTAGAGCCAAGCAAATCTTTATCTACTTTGGGAAAACTCGGTCAAAAAATATAAAGATTAAGGAGATAATTATATAAACATATTTATTATTATATATTACATTATTTAGTACATATTATATACTATTATATATTACTTAGTAGGTATATGTTAGGAAATTGTTTTAGAAAAAAGGTGTGACTCTTCCTTCATTCTCACGAAGATTCTGATGTTCAGATGGGAACTGAGTTTATAGCCTAGGCAGCAAGTATCTACATGGCTATTTTCTCAAGGGTTTTGATATAAGAGTGACAGATTTACAGGGAAGGTACCTCTGGGCAGCAGCTTCTCCAGCGCCTTTATACAGAGAGACAAAGATCACTGTGAAAATGTAGTTCTGGGTTCTAGAGCTGCATTGCTTCATATATTTAGTGAATTGCCTATAAAGCTTTGTTGGTGTAGGTTCTGCTTTGGTTTCTGGAGCCAGTGGGTTTGATCAGGTTAAGCATCTTCCCTGCACTAGCCTCCCCTCCTTACCTAACCTAATTGCATAGCAAATGTAATGAGTTTTGAAGGGTCAGTTGCTGATTCCTTGGAAAAAATAAAACTTGGAGATCTTTGGGTAATACGAACACTGAGTTCTTTCTATCCTGTGTTCTTTGATATTGATTCACAATTTCCTTGGGTTGTTTGGTTATTCCCCCTTTGTAAAACACTGATTAGATAGAAAGGAGGCCTCTAGGACAGAGAGCACTAATTCTTTTTTTTTTTTTTTTAATGATTTCCTTGAGAATCCCGTCCCATACCATGTGGTCCTTTAAAACAGACTATGGTATGGTATGCCTATATCCATAAACTCCTACATCTCCGTATGTAGCAGTGCTGCTGGACACGAAGGAAAAGAGTCCTGTTTGGGGATTGAGTCCATCACTGTGTAAATAACGCCAGGGAGGGAAGGCATCTCATGCTTCCATAAGGCTTATCAAACCCTTTCTAGCATGAAAGCAGGCAAAGAATTGTGAAGACATGAAATACTCAGGACATATTTTGAAAGCCAGGGCAGTAGTGGGGAGAGGTGTTGAGGGTCAGCTTGTATAATTTATTTATTTTTGCTATGTTGGGTCTGAGTTTCTGTGCGAGGGCTTCCTCTAGTTGTGGCAAGCGGGGGCCACTCTTCATCGCGGTGCGCGAGCCTTTCACTATCGCGGCCTCTCTTGTTGTGGAGCACAGGCTCCAGACGCGCAGGCTCAATAGTTGTGGCTCACGGGCCCAGCTGCTCCACCGCATGTGGGATCCTCCCAGACCAGGGCTCGAACCCGTGTCCCCTGCATTAGCAGGCAGATTCTCAACCACTGTGCCACCAGGGAAGCCCAAGGGTCAGCTTGTATAAATGGTGGCCCACTGAGGTGGTGGTCCAAAGGGCCCATCCATAGGCAAGTGAAGGCCTAGGGGTAGAGGAGAGAGGGCTCCTGAGACAGTTTCTGTTTTCCTTATTATTTGGCCCAGGATGGGGACTGAGAACTTGTCTATAGCTACAAAACTAAACAAAACAAAAGAAGAATAGAGATTTTTGAATCCAGTGTGAGGATTTCGTAATCATTCCTTTTTTCTGTTGTTGCTAATGTTTGCTTTTACATAATAACAAATCTGTTTATGTCTGCAAAGGATTAGCAGTGGACCCTGCTTCTGGAGCAAAACTCAGACAAGGATTTACTAAATCTAAAAAAAGATTAACTCCTAGAGGCCAGGTAAGAAAAAAAAAAATTAACCTCTAATCCAGGTGTTGCCGATCATCCAATGGGCAAGACAGTTACTGAGCCTTTAAAAGAATGAATCCATAGCAGGCCAATCAAAGAGGAATTTGGGCAAATCCTGATTTGTGTTACTAAAATGTATGTTCTTGAAATGTACTCTTTTGTTAAACATATAGTTTGAAATGACATTCAGTTTTTGTTTCTTGGATTTAACAGGAAAGGGGAATGATTTTTCATTTTGACCTGGAAGGTTACTGCCCTGTCCCTTTTTCCAAACAAGGACAGTTCCCTGAGATTGACACTCAATAGGACTGCTATGAAGTTGGAGACTTTTTGATATGTGAATTGTTAAAACAATTAAAATTTTAAGAGGCCTATATTACTTAACATTCTCAATGTGGAAACAACGAAGTTCTAAAGTAAATACCTTTTCTTTCTGCTTTCAGACTGGCTCCCTAAGAGTCCTCAGCCTGGATGGCTGTGTACCCAGGAAAGCCACCTAAGGGGAAGGATGGGGAGGCATCTATTTACATGCCCGTGATTTCTCTTGAGACATCATGTAGAACAAGTAAAAACTAGCTTCAAATTTTCTTATCTACTCCCTTCAAAATTTTCCCCCCAAGTCGTTAAACAACACGTCAACCTGTATGATAATGCTTGATTTAAAGATTCATTTGAAGCTTTTTTTTTTAAGTGGACATTTAATAAGCTTTTAAAGAAAATGTTGCTTTGCTATTAGAAACTTTTAGTGAAACAGTCTTTGGTGTACTAACACTATTGCTTTCTAGGAAAATCATTTTTTACCTAGCTTTATTCTATATAATAGCTGTGAAATGTCAGCTTTGTTATTTGCTTCTAATGAACATTAAACTATAATTAGTAACCATTCCTATTTTAAATGTCCATCTGTATACCATGTATAATTGTCTCACACCAGTGTACACAGTTGCTTGTGGGGGAACACTACAGTGGAAGGAACAGTAACCTTCCCACCCTGTGGAGAGGATGCTCTAAGTGGCCTCAGGCCATTTATTTATCATGGCCAACTTGGAAGTCAACTGTTCATTTCACCATTGGTTTATGTAGCTCTGTTGGGAGGTGGTGTCTCAACTATTTTTTTCCCTTGGTCATCTTAAGTGTTAGTAAACTCTTTTTGTAGAGTCATTTATACTTAACTCTTGCTTTTTAATCTAAGAATTTTTTTATCTTTTATTAAACTCAGGGAATTTTATTTAGGAGTAAGCCATTTTTTTCTAATTAGGAGAATACCGACCTACTCCCACCTGTGGTACAGCAAACATGACATCTGAAAGTCTTACGATCTGTATTTTGGGAACTAAATGCTATGTTTTATGCTCAGGTAAATCAGGTATGTGTTCTGGAATTGACTGAAGACTCGTAAGCCACATAAAAGTATTTATGGAACCTTCTGTAAATGGAATTTGGGAAGCTTGAGCTGAGGGGAGCTGCCACTCTACCACTCTCCGCTTGCTCTGAGAGATTGCCTTCCCTTGGAGAGGTAAGTGCATTTGGGAACTGAGACATCCCAGAGCAGTAGATTCCTACTGACGAGGTAACCTATGTCCCTCTGTCTCATTTCTTCCCCGCAAGTGAAACCGTAGTTTAAGGACCCACCATGTCAGTTCCACACATGCAACAGCCCGGCCCCAGGTAGCTTATCTACAATGCCTCCCACCCTTTATGGTCATCAGTATCACCTTTAAGGACTGTGAACCACAGTTTCTCACATTTGGCTAATATGCTACTTTAATGGGCAAATGAATTCAAGGTTTCCCTTTCTCTACCCACCCCCACCCTATTTCGAGGTAAAACAAGCAAAAATAAACAGTATTATGGGGGAATATTTTCTGAAGAAATCCCAATATGAAATAATTTCTAATTTGTACTAGAAATTAATAGTAAACACGATTGTAAAACGGGATCATGGTAGCCTAGCCTAGACAAAACTTTAGTAGCTAGTATTCTGACCTTATATATCAGAAATAAATTACATAGCATTCTGGAAGGATTCAGAATGTTATACAGTAATTTTTAGAAATAAGTTCTTAGCACTGTGAATTTAATGAAGCATATAAGCGCCTACCTTAAATCATAATTATTTTACTCAAAAAAAAAAAAGGGGGGGTGGTTAGTTTCTAATAGATGCTGACTAGAGGTCAGAATAGTAGTTTCTGTAGGGGATGTAATGGCCAGGAGGGGGCATGAGGGAGCCGGCCAAGGAACTGGAACTGTTTTCTATCTCAGTGTGGATAGTTCCGCGGTGTGGTTGTATATAAAAATTAATCGAGCCACGTGCAGAATTTGTAGAGTTTATTATACGTAAGATATATCTTCATATAGAAAGCCTCTAAACACAAAAGACAAAGGAGCTTTAAAAAAAGGTTAGGTTTTATATTTTAAAAACTCATTAGATACCAAATTCAAGAGATAGATTATAGTTACATTGTAAAACGTTATCTTTTTTGAATAAAACTAATATTGACTTAAATGATGAATTTTAAAATGCATTTACTTATTGGTGATTAAAAATACTTAAGCAGAGTAGTATTTTAAGCCAGACAGAGCAAAGGAAATTCTTGTTTAATATATATATATATATATATTTTTTAATTCCAGTAATATTCTTAAATTCCTGTTAAAAATATAATCAATATTAAAGTCAGTAAAATGCCTTTTTTGACTGACGCCTGGATTATTTTACCGCTTAACCTGGTTACACAGTGATTTTTTTTTTTTTTTCTGTCAGATGCAACTGACAATCAGTTTAGTCTTTAAGATAAATGAAGTGATAACTCACATTGTAGCATCCTGTGGAAAATATTCAAACTACATTTAAAATGCTTTTTTAAAATGGAGACATCTATTATTCCACAAGAAATTGTTTCTGTAAAACTATAGGTTGGCTATGGCAATAGTAACTAAACTACATCCAACCCTGAAGGTAGAAAAATCCCTGAAAAGAAATACACAGCCTAGTCATAATATGCAATATAAAGGTTATTTTCTTATTTTAAAAATTCTCCCATTTTGGAGAAATCCAAACCTTTCCATAGTTCCCTTACTAGGCAGTGCCACATAAAGTTATTTAGTTAACATTATTATGATCATGGCTTACGATTAAGTTCAATTTGACAAACACCTATATATAGCAGCCCTCGTATGGATGTCGGTTATGACAATGGTTGCAGTTCCATTAAAGAATACTTGCTTATTAAATTTGGTACAAAGCATGAATACTCAGGACAGATTGGCACAATACATGCAGTTCGAGAACTCTCTTCTCTCAAGCCAGTCATCACTGAATAAGCCATATTCCAGTCCTGCTTTCTGACTCTTTCCTTGTATCATAACTGATGTTTAAAATGTTTCTTAAAACATCTTCCAGAATAAGAACGGTACGCTTTAAAAACCAGTCATCTGAATGCATGGTGGAAATGAGGCAGGATAGCTGAACCAGTGCCAGCTGGGAAAACATGGGGGATGGGGGGCAGGGGGAGCTGGCCCAGGCTCATAGTGCTCATGGCGAGTGAGGGGTCTTGTTGCTGCTGCCCCAGACAGCTTAACCTGTGGGGCAGAGATTCCCCAGGCCCCAGGGTGAGACTGCTATTCCCAAAGGCATTTTGGGTAGCAGGAGGGGGCAGCTGCCAGAAGCCCAACAGAGGGGAAAGGTCCAAAGAGGCAGGTATTGTTAGGTTCACAGCGTCTGCAGGTAGCTCCTTGGGCAGGTTTACTTTACCAGCACCTCCCTTAGCCAGATCAAAACCTGGGTTGAGCTTGTGAGGTGACTGAGGCTCTTGCAGAGGCAAGTCCTCAAGCAAATTGGTATTGCAAAATCCTTTAGTATCCGCTTTGAGGGGCAGGCTTGCAAGTGGGGAGTATGAGGTAGAACTGGTGTTGTACTTGTGATTCTGGAGGGGTGGGGGAGGAGAGCTGGGGGATGCTACGGGGTGGAGCGGGGCCAGGAGCTCTGGCAGCGCTGGCACAGGCTGGGAGGTTTGCTCCGAGGGGCCGTGGGTGTGGCTGTGTACCTCAGCTGGCAGGCCGCTTGCAAGCCCGTTCTGTGCAGGAGCCCCTAAAGGGAAAGGAGGCAGTGGGGCGGCCTTCAGCTGGAACTGCGGAGAGAGGGAGTGGAAGGTGTTCAGAAGGTCTCCGGACTGCAGACTCTCTTTCATCAGCTCCTGTGAGTGTGTCTTCTTGGTGTGTCGCGTGAGGTGGTCTTTGCGCCCAAACCTCTGGGCACAGAACTGACACAGGAAGTCCTTGCAGCCTGTGTGGACCACCAGGTGGCGCCGCACGTCTTTCCGGGTGTAGAAGCATCTTTCGCAGTGGTCGCACTGGTGCTTCTTCTCCTTGGCTCCACTCGGGGGCTTCTCTTCGGCGTGGGCCTTGAGGTGGTCCAGCAGCACCTCCGTGCTCCCTAGCTCCAGGGCACAGACCCCGCAGGTGAGGTCGCCACTGCTGGCCGCGTGCAGGGCCAGGTGCCTCTTGTAGCCCAGCATGGTGTTGTACTTCTTCCCGCACTCCTCGCACCCAAAGGCCATTTTGTTGGGGTCGTGCGTCTGGAGGTGGTTTTTCAGGTGGTCTTTGCGGTTGAAAGTCTTCTCACAATGAGCGCACTGGTGGGATTTCTGGGGCGAGTGGGTAGCCATGTGCCTAGGAGCAGAAGGAAGAAGTTCACAATAGACCCAGTGGTTTAAGAGCTGGAGAAACGTAGAGAAACAAACAGTATTAAAATGTTGATAGTAGTTTTCTCTAGGTGGTGGCATATGTGTTTTAGTTTTAAAATACTTTTCTGTATTTTCCAGATTCTACACATAAACGTTATAGTAAAAAAACAGGTACTACGTGATGCCGTTTTCACACGTGTGAAGAATACGCTTTGAGAACATTTTCCTAATGTACACAAAGAGATTTCTAGACAAATACAAGTATACACGTATTTTAAGATACATGATCATGAAGACATATTTTTCAGGAAGGGGTTTAAATGACTATTCTATACTCTTAAAATTTCTGAATTTCCAGAAGTGATCCAATTTGCCTTCTACACATAACCCCATACCCCTGCCCCCCAGTGTTGTTATTTTTATTGTTTCCAATACAATTTCTGCTTGGTCTTTATTGAGACAAAAAGTTCAGGCCTTAGACATAAAGCTAAAAAGTCTATCATCTTTAACCTCAGAGAACGTGTCTAACTGGACCCAGAATGCCAACCCCACCACCTGTCCTCGGAGCGTCAGCCTCCTGCCTCCCATGAGACCTTTACGCTGAAGTCTTAGTTTCTGCCGTTTAATACTTTCCTATTGGCTATCATGTCACATGCGTGCAGCCCGTCTCCATTTCTTCAGGATCCCTCTTAGACACCTTCAGCTCACTTCCTAAAGGTCACTGGTAATTCCTTCGGCAGAGTTCAAAAGGACTTTTTCTAGAAGGACTAAGACAGTAGAGGGAAACATACACTGACTGCGGCAGGTTCTACGAGACAGGTACAAACAGTGTTGAGGAACGGGGACAATGCAACAGGTATTTGGGGGATCTGAAGTGATGCTGGTCTCTCCAAGTTTCACATGCATATTTAAATACATCCCTAGGTTGTCGAAAGGATTTTTCGAGGCTGCTAGAGGGCAAATAACAAACTTGACATTTAAACAGTTTTCTTTCTATTTGGTCCAGCACTAATGTTTAGGAACCCTAAAGCTCTGTTCTGGATCTTGTCCCTCTCCCCTTTTTCCTTTGTGAAGGATTTTTATCTGATTAAATTTCATTTATCACCCCTGTGTTAGATCAGTGTCCAGTTAACAACTCTGGACCTGGTATTTCCTACCCACACTTTCCTGTCCTACTGCTGTGCTACCTATGAGAAAGGCTCGGGGGGACACAACTCTTACCTGAGCAATGACACTTTTCACATTCTACCAGCTACCACCCCTCTTTTTTGACTCTTTCCTCTGCCTGGCATCCAATTCTTCTTTTAATTTCCCCCTTCACCTGCTCATGCACCAGTTCCAATCTAGAACATGATCATCTTATGGCTGAAATTACTTCCACATTTTGTTTCCCTCCCTAACTTCTCCTCTTACCTCACAACCCAAGAAACCACCAGTTTCGGTCTGTCCTACAGTCACCAAGTACCACCGTCTTTGGGCGTCACCTGGACCACATCAATGATCTTAGAATTCCTCCGGGGTTAACTGCTTACACTGGGACTGCGTCTGCCTTGCCTTGCCATTTAAGTCACTGTTCCTGCCCTTTGCTATCTCCATCTAACTGCTTTCATCCTTCGCTGTATTAAGAAGTCCCATGTTCTCTTTTCTAGTTAAGCAAGTCAGTTTCTTCTTCAACCTCTGCTTATAAAATGGATCTTACGTTACAACTGAGGGACACAGGATGGAATGCTACCCTTTTCTTAAAAAAAAAAAAAAAAAAAAAGCAAAACCTAAAGCATCCTGTCCTCTCGCCACTCTTCTATCCCTTTATTGGATCGCTGCTTCAGGCCAGAGAGGCAAGAAATGTCGGGGACTGCGGCAGGGAAGGCCGTCCTTGCATGAAGTACACTGCTTCCCTTTTCTGCTTCTCTTCACACCCTTAGCTGAACAAGTCGTTTCCCTTGCTCAGCACCACCACCACCTACCTCCTAAATATTGCTTAAGACATCTTCTTCAGTGCGGTTTACCACAGTAATCCCACCTAATTCCTGTCATTCCAGTAATCTGTTAGCGCCACTGTCTTTTCCAAATATTTATCTCCTATATGTGCTTTGGTCTTTATCCATGGTTATAATATCCTCACTGTGGCTTAACTGCAGCTAACACTGCTTTTGGTGTTCGGGTAAGGATAATTACTGTGTACACATAAGAAGCGGGTTGCAAAACAGGAAGCCTTTGCAACAAAACTGGTGCATACAGTAGGCACTCAACACAATTATGACAACTAGAGATCAGCCGACGTATAGAACACATTTGAATTTTAGGCGTGTATAGGCTTATTTTAACAAATCAGCTTATTATATTACATCATCTGTAACAGTGTTATTCTTAAGAGCCATAATTTATATCTCTCTCAATTCTTTCAAGTGCCTTCCTCCAGGGGCATTCCCAGATCTAATTATAATGTGGTTCGTGTTCATACCACAGATGGAAACTCTCTCCTGCTAAATTCTGACTCTTACCTATGCATTTATATGTTAGTCTGAAAGTGAAAGTTCATTTCATGAAAATTAGAGGCAAAAGATGCATTTCCCTTAACCAGGTATCAAAAGAGGCACAGATGAGTGGCAGTTCTGTGTGTATAGCTCTGAAGGTACCATATATTCAATACATAACACACACAGCATTCATTGTCTATCAGCCTACTGTGTGACTTACTGATTTTGAGTATATATTATACGCAAATATAATATAAAAATCCTTTACAGGCAGAAAACTACATCTCATATATTCATTTCCCTCAGGGAAGTGAGTACCTAATAGGCACTCAAGAAATACTGATAATTCAGACTAAATGTACTATATCTAAAAAAGGACCTATCTCCTAAAAGAGTAGTTTTTACCCTCTGTCATATCATGGATACCTTTGAAAATCTGATTAAATGCACATACTTAACATCTGTATACCCAACAGAATTCCACTTGTTAGGGTGGCTTTTAGAGCCAAGTTGAGAAACTGCTCCAAAAGCCAACGCTCTCGGAGAGGAGCCCTCCCCCCTCCATGCTCACTCAGAACCCAGACAGGCTCTCCGTATTTCATACCCGGACTGTTAACAACAGACTGCAGGTCAGTCTGCAGGCCTCTTCCCTCTTCTCCAGATTACTACCAGAGCCATCTTTCTAACATCCTGACCAAATCATGTTTTTCAGTTCTTAGACTTACCAGAAGAAAACAAACCCTTTAGGACAGCAGACAAGGCCTGTTTTGAGCTGCTTCCTTCTCCCCTACACTTTGAGCCTCACCCCCATTCTCATCCGCCGCTACCCTCTGTGCACATGTGCTACAAGGACAAGGCTTAGGGCTTTCCCAGAACCTCCTTCCTCACTGCCTCCCATTCATTCTTTAGATCACAGCTAAAGACTGTACCTTTCTGAGGAGCCTCCCCAGGTCTCATCATCTATCAAGCAGTGGAGAACAACTTCCGCCACCTGCATAGCTCTGTCAAAGCCCTTAGATTACATTTTAATGGTGTTTGCATGACTATCTCCCCAGCCATGTGTCTTCTCATCTTTCTGTTCTTAGGCCTGGCTTATTGTAGGAACACAAGAAATATTTGTTGGAAAAGTGAATTGGACACTGCAAAGCACAACTGTCATACAAAAACTATAGTAATCACTGGAGGTACAGCCATAAAGGCTAAAATGCATCCACATTCTGCATCCCTTTTCCCCTGCAGTGTTTGGTCTGAGGGCTAGCAAAGCCTTTTAAAGGTATGTGTAAAAGTACATACCTTTTCTAAAGCCTCTCACCTCATTAATTTATATCTGGAAATGAAGGCTTTGCCACAGTCTGGCTGCAAGCACTTGTAAGGTCGCTCCCTGGAGTGGGAATAATTGTGGATAGTGAACTTCTCCAGGGTGAGGAACGTCTTGCCACATAATTGGCAGGGGTAGGTGGCCATGGGCTTTGTCTCTCACACCTTCCTTTTCAGATGCGCTGACCAAATGCTGTGCCATTTAAGTACAAATAGAAGGACGGTGCTGAGCACATCAGCAGAGCCACAGCAGCTGACCGCCAGGCCAGGGGGGAGGCAGCGTTGTGGTCCCGGACCTGGTTCTACCCAGACATGGGCCTCTCAGTTACCACTATCTCTGCTTCCTGCTTCCCACATCCCAGTTTCCACGCAGTCTCAGGTTGAGAGGAGCAAGTCTGAGGCATGGATGAGGTTCCAGAGCAGAAAGGCAATCGGCATCACTAGAGCTGGGGCACGTCCTGGACCACCAAACTGTCTGTGGAGAGAAGGGGAACAGTTTCCTTGCATTTCATCTGAAAACAATGCTTCTCCTCCCCCACCAGTTCAGCATCAACTCCCCAGAATCAACGTGTTCCTTTAAATGGCTTGAATGCAGCACAACTCCCCATCCTCCTGTGTGCTTTAAGAGGTCCTTCTGCATATAAATCCACCTGTCTGTGCTTCTCCTGGGTGGCAGGAGTCAAGGGCACAGTGTTTTGACGGTAGATAAAGCACACTTTCCCTTGGGATAGAGACAGCTATTTCCATGGAGTCGGTATTATCGACTTCAAACCATGATTTCGGGTCATTGTGAAGTTCAGTCTGCCAATTCAAAGAAAAAAACTAAAAAACCTCCCCAGTGTGTTCAAGTGTTTTACTGGTACAGAAAAAAAAAAAAATCATCCCTGCTTATTCAAACCATGGGCCAGTCCTCTTCACTCACTGTTGGCAGAACATAAGTTGTTTATCACACCTGTTTAAACTTCCAGGGGATGAGCCGAAATAATCTGTATACATATAAGTTAACTTGTTTGTGAGGTTACCATGCAGGACTCAAGTCTACGATGTAAACAAAGTGGGAATAAAGCTAGTTTAGTTCACTGATGTGGTGCCTTCAGAGGGGAGACAAGAGATTCCCACAGAGACAAAGGGACAGCTCGGGCAGAGCTCAGAGCACATTTAGATGTGCAGGTACCATCCTCCAGGAAACTGTTCTATTCTTCTTTTCCCCTTTCGTTTATGAGGACATTTCCTCATTCCCCAGCCCCAGCCTGGGGGACCAGCTACCTGTTGGAAGGCCACTCCTAGGAGGTGGGCTTGCCGCCTCAACCTGCCTCAAATCCCAGTTATTAGCACCCTTCCAACCCAGGCAGATCACCCAAATCCAGGCTCTTCTTCTACCAACAGACCATCATTTGGAAGCCTTAAGAGTCCAAAGCAGCATCATGAACAACACAGTAAAAGCCTGGCTACCTAGAATCCTGTGCTATTCTAGACAGAGTTAATCCTCAGGCAATGGACATTAACCTTTCAAGTGCCAATATTTAAAAAAAAAAAAAAAAAAGCGTACTGTATGCTTACATTAAACACACTGGAGTAGCTTTTGTACCCAGGCCAGCTTTTTCTGAACTTTGTCAAGTGAGCAGGGCACTCATGGCAACCTGACCAATCACAGCAGGTCTTCAAGGCATCTGTTCCCTGCAGTCATTCATTTATTGCCAATTCTTTTAGAGCTGCTCTTTACTGTTAAAAGTTAATTTTTACTTACCTTTGTAGTTACTTTCAGATCAGAAAGTTAGAGTCTAGCTAGATGGAATTTTACTATCATAATAGTTCAAGCATCTTTAAACATATCAGCACCTAGCACATGCAACATAGACAAACACATTCCTTTTTTAAGAGGCAAAAAGTGCAGGAAACTTCTTGTGTTCCTCATCAGCTAGCTCGGGTGTTTTTAGTGGCTGGTCAGAGTTCACAAGGAGCCAGCACCAGGCAGACACCCCTCACCATCCTGCCCCACCTGCTTGGAACCTTCAGAGCTGACATGTGCACTTTGACCTGAAGCTTCAAGCACTGATCCAAAGCCGGGGACACCGGCGTTCTCAGCTAGCATCTTGGCACCAAACCTCCCTTCTGATGGCGACACACAGAGCTTATTCCTCTGTGACCAAGTGTGACTTAAACTGAGCCCCTGTCCCAGCTCTGTCCAAACCCCTCTCCCCCAGCTCCTTGCTCCTGCAGCGTCTGCCAGCTCACCTCGCTGCCCGGCCTCGAGGCATCTCTACCACCCTGGCCACAAAGTCATTCCTTCCAGGAATTCTACCCTGTGTGGCCGAGTTTTTGCTGCCAGGACTCATGGTGTGTCCCACTTCTCATCCAGCCTAAGTCTGGCTATAATACTGGCCCAGCTATAAAGGCATAGAAATTTATCATCATCATTAAATATACTCATTCACTGGAAATTGCTGTGTTTTTTCCAGGTCTATTTTAAGAGATTAAAATGTACACACAATATGAAATTTGAAATTCATTTTTTTCTTGTTCTCTTTATAGCTGAACTCAGAATAGTGCTAGTCACTCAGAAGGAGCTGGTCTGGCTTCTCACCTACACCGATCCCCTGCATGTATGCTTTAAACTCATTCTCCCCAGCTGCTGCTTTATGAGAGATGACCAGTGTCCAACAGAACTTTCTGTGACGGAAATGGATGGCTATCAAAATGTGACACCGAGAAACTGAAAATTTTCTTATTTAACTTTAAGTAGCCACAGGAGGCTAGTGGCTGCTGTGCTGGAAGACACAGGGCACTCTCAGTTTCACTGTGGAAAGAGACGAAGGCGAGGCTACCCTTTCCTTCAGGCACAGCTATGCCGCTCATTTGCCCTCAGGCGTTTCCCTGAAGCACCAAAGGTATTTATGTAGATCCAGTCATTTGTTTTACGAATACGGTAGAAAGATTCCCTACTTCAAATTCCAGCTCACCCCTTTGTTAGCTGTCCTGAGTTTCAGTTTGTGTTATCTATCTGATGCATGTAAATGAGCTGGTAGAAACAACCAACTGAAACAAGATGGTTCTGAAAGTACCCTGTAATCTAAAAACACCACACAAATACACGGTAGCATTTATAAACACTGGGATTAAAAGCAGAAACCATCAGCTGCAAACTGGCACGTGGTTCTAACCACTGAGCTATGGATATAACAGAAAAGAGACACACGTTCTCTCCTATGTATGCTTCACCAACCGTTTCTCATAGTGGGAGGACCCAGTAGCCTGGATAATACACATGCTCAACACACACAGGACATACGAGGTTGCAAGTAAAAACTGGCCCGAGCTCTTTGTTTCTCAACAGATACCAACTTTGATTGCTCACCAACGCACCAAGCATACAAAGGAAAAATAAGATTTATTCAAGAAAAAAGTACCTGCCTTTAGCACTGAATAAAGTTTTCCCAGATGCACTTTCCAGCCACTTCCCTAGATTCAGAAGTCCAACAAGCTGTAGACCTCATTACCTTTCCCTCTCGGGCCTTCAAAGACGGTGGGTATATAATCAAGGCGTTTTAGACGTGGCCATACTGTATTTAAATGTGAGACATTTCCTCCAACTCTTTCCCCATTAAACTTGCAAAGAACAACAACAAAACATTAAGTCACTTAAGCATTTTTGTACTTATTAAACTTATTGCATTAATGCCTTTGCCAAGACTGTTACCTTTCTGAGTTTTGGTCTCTGTGTTAAAATACACCTAGTCCAACCCTAAGTGCAAAATTGGTCCTCAAATGTTGAACTGAATTAATTTATAATAGTAAACATTCCTCAGTTTCTTCAGGAAGGCTTTCTTTAATGATGAACTCAAATTCACAACTAGTTATAACATTTCATTCACCATAACTCTGTATTTTGTTAATATGAATCTTCAAATATAAATATTTGCACTGTTTTCATGATACAGTCACAAACTATTATAAACACAGTCTTCCCAACAGATTATAAATTCACTGTGGCTGAGGATCAAAGCCCAGCTATTTTTAAAAAATAAACTGTGTGGATACTACAGCATCTCCCATCACCATGTACTTGACCACAGTACTGGCTGGCTGCTGCTGATTCCAATCTTTGGTTGAAACCTGATGAGCTTTCTGGCCACCACGCCCTTAAAACAGACTTGTGATTAACTTTCTATTATTTGGCAAACCTCCAACAGTCCTAACGGAGAACTAACAAAGGGATGGTCCTGATGATAGTCCGTTCTGTAACTTGACATGCAGATTGCATTTGAGTCTTAAATATGGTAATAGTTCAACACCTGTCACCCTGGAAAGATAGTAAGTCTTCCCCCAAAACATCTCAGGACATAATTTTCAATCCCCTTGATTCTAAAAATACTGAGTGAGTGATACAGATCTGCCAGTATGCCAAAGAAGGCTTGTGCCATCTGCTTCATTCTGTTCATGCTGATTATTTTGGGGATGAGAGAGCATCAGATTGGAATAAGAACATATATATATGGCAACAGCCAGGAAGGACTGTGTTCCCTGAGGGCTGATGGTATACGACGGCGGAGGGAGAGGTCAGGGCACAAGTGTAGTTCCAGGACGTCCCCAGTGCTGCGTAACACAATCAGCTAATGGGAGACAAATGTTTTACAACATTCTCAAAATAAACTATGACTTCTGGCTTCTATTTCCATTGTCCCCAGTGACACGATGCAAGGCCCATTTCTGAGAGGAAACTGAATTTCCATTTTTAGTCTCGCAACATGGGAACTCAAGTTCTTTTCTTGACTCCATTCATCACTCCTTGTGGACAAGAAGGTTCTACTCTGGACTTTTCTCTCTCCTAGTCCTGAAACCTGGGATTGCTTTTATATATATGTGTTAAGGCCAGTTTTAAAAGGGCCTCTAATAAGCTTCTGTTTCTTCTTACACTCACAAAATATGAAAGAGCCAATCATGGAGCAGGGAAGGTGGAAATGCATTGTTTATTTGGCTCCAGGAGGCTCCTAGAGAGGGCGCTCCCCTCAATATTTGAAGGACTCTGATAGCAAGTCTCTATCATCTATGAAAAAACCATCCAGAAACATCAGCTGGAGGAAGCAGCTACTCAGAACCTCCAGGTGGTTGCTACTTGTTTTTCATTATGCGCATGCATTGTAAAACTTGTTAGGTGTTGTATCTGAGCAAGCATGGTGTTAGAAGAGTTGGGGCTCATTATATGTCTCATCAGCGAAAGAGGAGCTCTTGGGACTGGACTAGTAACCTGGTTGAGGATTACAGATGTGAAGCTTGACGAGTACCCTACCAGATGGCTGTGGCTGGGTTTTCAACCTTAACTGAGAACAGGGGTTCGTAAGTGGGGCCCATGGCAGAGGTTCCAGGGCCCATGGCTGAGAATTCTCAAATAGTCTGTGCAAAATTAGGAGGCATGTGTATTAGAGTTCTTAAGAGGAGAGGGACCATAGCTTTCTTCAGATTTTCTAAGGAGCTCTAGATTTAAAGAGGTTAAAGGACACTGACTTAGATGAAAAAAGGGGAAATCCCTCTTGGTGCTATCAATTCAGTTTCACAAAGTCACTGATATTTCCTAAGCGATGGACCATATATTTGGTGCCTCAGTCACTGCATTTTATCAGGTTAAAGTAAAAAAAAGAGGGGGGGGGGGGGGAGGGGGTCTATAATAATTTTCTTTGGAAATTCAAGCAATAAACAACTTCTACAAATTTCGTTTCAAACGTGGGTACCGATGATAATAGATTCTATCATCTAAAACAGGCCTACCTTTTGACTAGAGGGAAGGTTGCCCTCAAAATCATAGGGATTCATTTGTCAGCATCTTTAAAAATCTTTTATTAAAGTGTGTGTGTGTATGTGTGTGTATCCTCAATAAAGTACTAAGATACTATCATTAAAATCCGTTAACACCTGAGCTGACATACCACTTGGAAGAAGGCTCTTGCCTAGGATGAACTCTCAGGCTGGATCCCCAAAGCCTGTCACCCCACTATGTCTGCAGACCTCTCTCCCACAGTGGCCCAAAGGCAACCACAGCTGCAGATCCATCTACTTGGTATTTCCTTAACGTGCCACCTTCTCTCACGCGTCTGTGTTTTCCACACTATGCTGTGCTCCTTTCTGGACTATCCCGCCACCCCCTGTCTACCTGGCCAACTCCTACTTTCCTTGTCACTCCCAGGCAGAGGAATGAGCTCCTTTTCCACCTGGTGAGATGGTGAAACGGGGAGCCCACCAAGAAAGTGACTGCAACGGTCCAGGTGAGCCTGCAGGGGCTTGGGCTAAGGTGGTCGTGGTGGAGATAAAACAGAGCACTGAAAACCACGGCTCAATTAGAAAGGGAAGACTGGTTTGGTGAGAAACTGCTTCCACAAAGGGTTCTTCTGTGTGCCCTCCAGAACTATTTATTCAACAGCGGGTAGACATCTCCACTTTAATATGTTTGAAACAATTTGCTTTCAGTGGTGGGAAGCATTGGCTGCCCACCCCCGGTTCTGCTCTGGGGGGCGCCATGCACAGCAAGCCCCTGCCTCCCCAGCCTGCCAAGCAATCAGGTTTGCAGCCTACTGACTCTTTTAAACTGTCACCTTGAGAGGCTTTATTTTGTTAACCCAGTGACTAAGCTCTTATTTTCTTAGAAACAAGGCTGAAGATAAGCAAGAAAGCCGAAGTGAACTGTTTACCTAATACCTAGAGAGAAAATTACACCACAGCTTTAGAACATCAAATCTATGCATTAGACTTAGAAAAAAACGAAAAAGGACGGGGTGCTAACCTTCTCTTCACAAACAGTGTGAGTTGTATCTAGTTAAAGACGGTAAATTGAATAAAAGTATGTAGCCCCAGTTTCTCCTGAAACTCTACTAAAACAGTATTAATGAGATTTTTTCAAAAACACAACCTAAGATAACAGGAAAGGAGAAAACTGCAACAAACTTTTGGAAGCTGGAAAGCCGGTAAACAAGCAGTAACTGACTTAGCCGTGCTAAGAAAGCAGAATTCTAAGCCAGTAATGAAAAGCTACGAAGCAACCTGATTCACCCCGCAGAACCCATCAAAAGTCTCAAAGTTGGGCACTAGGTACTTCTGGAAGTGGGGATAAGAGTGGGTATAGAAACAGAGAGAGTGGTTGAAAGTCTGTCAGTGCATCCAGCCCTCTGACCCGCTCCCGAAAGAGGGTATGAGAAGGGGGTCCTACGCTGAAACAGGGTGAATTAAGTAGAAGTTTGCATACTTCCCCTATTCGCCTATCAGAACAAAGGCAACCAGGCCTATTATACTCTCCAGGACAGGAGACTGAAAGAGTCTTCTCTGGGAAAGCTGACTAGCCCAAGAGAAAAGAGCTAACGACAAGGACAAATGGCAGTCCTGAAGGGTTTACCCATATTCCCCTACAACGAAGCCCTTGTTGACAAGCCCTATCTAAGTACACAAAGCTTCCATCAGCTTTTCTATGGCTCCACTCACAAGTCAGCAGGCCTCCAAGGATCACCAGAAATCAGAAGCAAGCATCTATTAGGAAAAACCGACACAGAACAAACAGAAAAAGGCAGCTAGGATAATGAAGAAGAAAAAAGACTGTATGGAGAAAACTTCAGAAACAACTATCATTAATATCCTAGAGAGAACAGAGATATCCCCAAAGGAACCGGAGTTTAAAAAAAGAAAACAACAACAAGGACAGTGACAAGTGCAAGACCCCAGGCAGGCATTTGAGTCAAACTTGCTGGGGGAGCATCTGAGAATCTGCAATTTTAATAAACTCCCCTGACGACTCTGAGGCACCTTTATGTTTGCCAATGTGGCTTCTTTTGAGGGTACTGCTATTTTTACATCTTTGTTAGTCCTAATGCTCACTAGTGATTAGCACCATGAAGCAACCTTTTATGACCCAGAGACTAATTAACAGTAGACCATCCATAGGTTAAACTGTTAAAATGTGCATCATTAGACTAAGAAACAGGAGATAGTTTTTAAGTTAATAAGACAGTTTACTATCTTTGTCATATGAAAAAGGTGCCTATTATCACTGTTTCTTATTAAACATTTGTACTAGAAGTTGTGGTCGAAACAATAAAGCAATAAAAAGACTTAAAATTGGAATGGAATAAATCTTTTGCCATTCACAGATGACTATATAGAAAACTCCAAAGAATCCACACATAGAATATGAGAATTAGAAAGTCTGACAAGGTATTTGGTTACAAAAATCAAAATACAAAATCGACTGTATTTTTAAATGCCAGCAAACAGAAATATAATTTAAAATTAATTAGCCACAAAGATAGCTAGGAATAAATCTAACCAAAGACAAACAAGATATTTATGGAGAAACTATAAAACTATACTGAAAGACAAGAGAAAACCTAAATAAATGGAGAAATATACCATGTTCATGAATAGGGAAATACAGATAGAATTACTGTTATATTGGCAGTTCTCTTCATATTGATATACTGATTCACGGAAGTCCTAATAAAAATTCAACAAGGTTCTTTGTTGGAACTTGACAAGATCATTCTAAAATTTTATATGGAAGAGGAAAAGTCAAGAATAGCCAAGACTTTCTCCCCTCAACTGGCTCATTCTCATCATCATACAAACAGACCAAAGAAGAAAAGGTAAAAGATAACAGGTAAAAACTTTTATAAAAAAAGCTACAGGGCTTCCCCGGTGGCGCAGTGGTTGAGAGTCCGCCTGCCGATGCAGGGGACACGGGTTCGTGCCCCGGTCCGGGAAGATCCCACACGCCGCGGAGCGGCTGGGCCCGTGAGCCATGGCCGCTGAGCCTGCGCGTCCGGAGCCTGTGCTCCGCAACGGAAGAGGCCACAACAGTGAGAGGCCCGCGTACCGCAAAACAACAACAACAACAAAAAAAAAAAACAAAAAAAACTACAGTAATTACGGCAGTATGATACAGGCACAGGGCTAGACTAGTGGACCAATGGAGTAGAATGAACAGCCGAGAAACAGACCCACTTTTGTATGGAAACTTAATATACGACAGGGCTGGCACTGCAATCATTGGGGAAAGAATGGACTACTTAATAATTGGCTATCTATATGGAAAATAAGGAAACTGGATTCCTACCATACATCATATAGGAAATTAATTCCAGACAGATTACAGGCTTAATGTTTAAAACAAAACTTTAAACCTTTAAAACCTTTAGGCAAGAACGAAAAAATAAAGTATTTCACAGAAGGGGAAACCCATGTAGCCAATAAACAAATGAAAATATGTACAGTTTTATCCAGGTTAGATCTCTTGGTCCACCATCAAAATCACTTCCCATGTACATTTTACTCTATGGGCCTTCCCCCTTCTTGACTGGCAAAACTTCAATCCTGGTTAATTTATTTAATCCCCACCCCTATTCCCTGGCACTCCTTATGCCTCCATTCCCTGCCTCTTTTTTTTTTTTTTTTCCTTGTGTCATGCACTTACCACATCTGACACTTTTTGTTTTATTTCTTAACACCCCCCTCCCCAACTAGATTGGCAAAAATTAGAAAGTCAGGCAAAACCAAGTAATGCCCAGTGGAAGGGAAAGAGGTAGTATACAAGCCTGGAGTCAGGACGTGTACATTCTAAGATGCTCTTCCTTAAGAACTAAGATATGATGCAATTAAATTGCTCTATAAAGACTTATGCATGAAAAAAAGTGAAAACAATCGTTGAAACTCAAGATGGATAAGATATATGGTTGTCGAAGGAATAACTATCTCTTGCTTGGGAGATCAGGAGAAGTTTCATGGAGAAGCCAAAGTTTAAGCTGAGCCGGCAAGTTTACCTGGTGTTCAAGGGGGAGGTGGTCTACTGCAGGCCAAGGGAATGAATCAACACAGGGTACTTGAAAATAAGTACTTCAGTATGACTGGATATGGATGTAAACATGGGGGTACCACGGACAAACAGTCTGGAGAGAGACAGACCAAATCGTAAAGCGCCAGTGATGTACTGCTCTACCGCACTAGGAGAAGGTGGGCTTTTTGTTGTAATATTTTAGCAGGCTGACTAACATATTTAGTCAAGGGTAGCCACTAACTCTGGGTTTATGTGGAGGTAGAGTGAGGTGGGGAGAGAAGTAGCAACAGGTAGAAAAATGCCAACAAAACGCTGTCTCGACAGGAGTAGGAGGCATTCCTGCTGAGTGATGGAAAAGGCATAATAAGCACAGGAATCTAAGCCTCAAAGAGCCACAGAAGACCAAGAGGAGGCAAAGTACAAGGGGCAGGGATCCCAGGACCAGTGACCAGGGGAGCCAGGCAACAGGAACCCACTACAGTAGGCGCCCCTTATCCACAGCGAATATGTTCCAAGACCCCCAGTGGATGCCTGAAACCACAGATATTACCAAACTGTACATATGCTATGTCTTTTCCTATACATGCGTACTTAGGATAAAGTTTAATTTAGAAATTAGGCACAGCCAGAGATTAACAACAACAAGAACAAAATAGAACAATTATTACAAACACTGTAACAAAAGTTATATGAATGTGGTTTCTCTCTCTCTCAAAATATCTTTTTTTTTCCAAAAGATCTTATTGTACAAATTTAATGCCTTTTCCGCGCCTCAACTAAGCGCTTATCGCGAACCGTGGCTGTAACATTTGCGGTTTGAGGTGAGACGGCAA